CACCCCTCAAATGGAATGGACTCTCCCCCACCTGTCACCCCTCAAATGGAATGGACTCTCCCCACCTGTCACCCCTCAGACAGAATGGAACCCTTCCTTCTTACAACCCTTTAATGTCTCTTAGATCAAGTCTAAAACTGCAAAATAAGGGTGCATTTATTATATATTTATTTATTTTATTATTATATTTTTTTTTGCTCTTCATTTCACAAATGTCAGATAATATCATAAATAAATGATAGAAACAATATTAACTTCTGTTAAATAAATTATAATAGCAAATACGGTAGCTGATCGAATTAATAAACAATCTTACTCGCAATATCATGGTCTGGCATTTTACATTTCCAAATTACACTATTGCATAATAAAATATTGCTTTGAATGAAAAAAAATGCATTCAAGCTTGTCCCAAGGTATAGTTTGAAGATCATGATCAAGCCTGATATTATAATTTGAAAAAAAATTATCAATTTCTGAGCGAAATTAAAAAAAAGGCAACACTATCTTAGTGCACCATTGCAATATGTTGAAATCAAATATAATGTAGGTCTAAATGTTTTGAAAATCACAAATAGAGCATGCACAACGTTCACCATACTGCATGTGTGGTGCATGTATTAGTGTGTGTGCGTGCGTGTGTGTGTAAGAATATGCGTATGCATGCCTGTGTGTGGTTCCAAAATACGACTAGAAGACTAGGGGAGCTTCTATCCCACGCACAAAAATTTTGCAGAATCTTGGCAAAGGAGCTGGCCATTCTGAAATGTAAAAATAATTTTTTGATAACGATATTACAATGATATTTTACCTCAATGAAAACTGACTTGAGATTAGATCAAATGAAAATAGAAAGGCTAAATCTGGCTGAACACCAAATTGAAAAAAAAGTCGACTGAAAAAAGGGGTATGTAGTTCTTCGATATTTCAAAATAATGAGTACAGCCTGCTTATATAACATGAATAAACTACTACGTTAGTGTATTAAATGTTTAATTATAAACGAAATGTTACACAGAACAGTTTCTAATGTAGGCACCTGAGAAAGTTCACACTAATTCACAAAGTACTAATACAGAAGCCTTTTAAAACACAACTGTGTTCCAATGCCCAATTTATGTGGTGTGGCTGCTATTCAAGTGACAGTATCTGGGCACCATAAAGTAATAGCAAATACATGTACAACTTTTATTATTAATTATGTCTATTGGCAGATCAAGATTTCCAGAAACTATCAACGTACAGCTTTCAGTAAATGCAGTAAACTACGCAGACAAACTGAAAGTTTAGTTCGTGTAATATAATAGGATATACGATATTATAACTTGGTAATATAGTATGAATTCGTCGGGAGAAGTGTTTAAATTACTCTGACAATAGCCAAACACACCGCATTATCGAATTATACGCATAAGACGCAACTTCTTTCCACTTTTATAGGATTACAAAAGACATTTTACTCACAAAACATTTGCCTCAACCATGGATCCCTCATACGTGATAGGTCCAAACTGCAACGGATGTCATGTTCGGTTCTGCGACTTCACCACGCCTTTACCATGTCCTCTTACATGGTCAAGCTGTCAAATGACCAGTCAAGAAGATAGTTCGCACTACGCTGAGCGACTTATTGTTATGCAAATTACAACAAGTATGGAGCGTTTTGATTGGGGTCTTACTGTTGTAAAAATTCTCAAGTAACAGTGATTTCAGTGGACAAACAGATTAGTTGATAATTTTTTGATCTCTTGGTATATGCAGATCCTTGAGCCTCATTGCAGAATTGCACCAAGACCTAATACTATGCCTTCTCAACATATTTGGAAGGTTGTTGGTTTAGTCAGATATAGTTCGCTCATCCATATCTGTTTAGACTTGTTGGGCATCATGTAAAATTCCTGTTGTAGATTCCGAAGGCCTACGTCTGTCCATTTGCAATTTTTTTCCACCGCGAATAAGTAAATAACAAGTCCCATGACTAATTGACTCAGAATCTGTTTAATTTAAAACAGCATGCCTCATTGAACATAGACCATGCGTCTTGCAAGATATACCCAGTGACTGTGAGAGAAGGTAACGGTCTCATAAAGTTTGTCACATCTAGGTTTTCCCAGTCTTTCTTTGTATAGATATCTAACGCTTTTATTATTTTTTTTTTCACAAAAAGACGTCTTTTCATATATACATATGTCGCTACTAACCCTGTTAACAAGGTCATTGTTTACCGAGGAAGATATAGAGAGAACATGTTAGACCTTGATGAACAACAGATACAGGAGAAGAACGCTTTCTTTCGCAAACTTTTACCTCCTTTAGTAAGAAAAAAAAAAACGCACTTTCTCATATAAAGTTCACTACCTTCAGCTTTTTAGTTTTGTACTCGGCCTTTTCGACTTTCCAAAGATAACTGACCGTGTGGCACGATGTAGGAGTGACTCCCACAGTTGACATTTAATCTACCGAGCCTGAAAAACGCCCCGACGTGGAACGCACCAACAAACTCATCGTGTTCTTTTCTTCATCACGTTACCTTGGGTCAAACAAAGATTACGTCTTGGCAAAACATAACACAAATATATGTACATTCAGTTTCAAATGATAACACTCTTTTGAATATTGCTTTGTGCATACTGCGGGCAGCGAGCTCTCTTATAAGTCTAACAACTCAAACGTCGGTTTTTGTCTCAGCGGAAACTAGAAGAAAAAACAAAACGCCTTGAAACTTATATAAATCTTAATATTTCCCTATAAATCTTTTATCAATCATTAGAAATATCGTTTTAGATTTCGTGATTTTCATAAAAACATTTAAAAGTCCATACGTAACTTCACCAATGTTATCTTTTCAAAATGCATCACTCCACCATCGATTTAAAACAGTCTAGACTGAATTCCTCCACACTCTTCGTGTGCCAATGATATATTCTTACTATATTCCATGACGACTACCCTGGATCGAAATAGGACTTTAGCTGATACGAAACCAGGGTATCGACAAATCACCAGAAATCATTTACAAAGTGATAGGGCATCTGCATATCTGAAAGGTGCAACTTCAAGAAAGGTATCGCTGTATTGGACGACATTCATTTCAACATGCTCCCTAGAAGCCCTAGCAGATTGGTGGTTTGCAGTCAACTGCAGCACCTTTCAAAATCGAAGATCGTTACCACGAAAACAAATGTTGAGTCTGTAAAAGCTTCTTCCTTATCAAATATCTGACAGGAAAATCTACCACGTGATTTCCTTAGTAATCTCTATCAAATGCGACTGTATCTGCAGCACAGGTATACAATTCACTGCTAGTGTTATTACTCCCTTCAGGTGGGTCAGTTCACTTCTTTTTTTTTACACATCTGATATACATATTATACATGATTGCCATAGTTCATATCAAGATCTTGCTGTTTACACAAGATCAGTAATCTCGTCTTTTCTTGCCCTTATCATAATCACGACTAGACCGAGAGTCCTCTGCTGGACGTTTGGCAGCACCACCTTTTTTGGCTTCAGTCAAGAATTTATTGAGACCGAAAGGATCCTCCTCCTCATCTCGTTCAAACTGAACAGGTCCTTCTCGTCTTCTGGTTCTGTCTGTTCCAGAAAATTCCTTATCTGGCACAAATCTGAAATGACAAAGTTATACCTGGATTTAAGGGCACCATAAAGAAATGAAACTGTTCAGTTCTGTACACTTCAACAAAATTTTTCCAAACAAAAAAGATAAAAAGTACATTTTTTATCAAAAATTTTTATTACTGATGGCTTAAGACCATTACATCAAAGGAACTTATCAAGCAGATCAAATTAAAATCTAGACAAACCTGTTTGTGTTGATGAGTTTGTCCAGATCATCTCCGTAGATGTCTTTATCCAGATTCTTGGACGGTCTGTAGATGGAGCCAGCAATGTCTTGATCTCCTCGCCATGGTTTGTCATACACATTGTATGAATCATCTTCATTAAAACCACTATCCATTCCCTAAAATATACAAAGATACAGGTATTTCCAACTTATTTCATCTATAACTTGTGTTAATTTCATTTACTTTTGAAGACATTAAGGTGAAAATTGGAAATGATATATTTTTCATTAATTTACATCTGATTATTCAATCAACATTGAATATTTTGATGCTTAGAACACACTGAAAATAGAACTTACCTTGCTTTGGTTAAACAACCTTTGATCAAACTGAGCATCTTGGGATCTCCCAGCATTTGGAAGTCCCAGGGCAATCTTTTCACTAACATCACGATCTTGGTCGCGCTGAAGCTTGGACCTAAATTAATTGAAAGTAGTGTAAACTGTTAAACACATTGTTTCCTTACAAATCCATGGAGCATATACTAACAACCCATAGCAACAAGCACTTTGACACCATTCTGCTTTATGATTTTTAACTTGAGGGTACAGAATCAATAACATTGTATCTAATTTTGCCAGTGAGAAAATGAAGCTGGAAATAGACATTTTCTTCACCTTTTATCTGGTGCAGCTCTGGCAAGATTTCTTTCCCTCTGCCTGTCCTTTTGCCTGTCTCTTCGCAATTCATCTCTCTCCCTGGCTTCATCATCTCCATCTGGAAAAGTGAAAGAAGCAAAATATGTCACTCTATGAATTTTCTGCCTCAATTATGCAGTTTTCTTTTTAACATTACTTCAAAATTCTGACAGGCAAATTAATGTTCCTTACAAAAAGAAAGAGACTCCTTGCTTTGGATCAAAGGTAAACTTTGCAATGTTGGTCTCTTACCATCCACTCTTTTAATGCCAGCCCTTTGTTCCCTTGCCTTTTGAGCCAGTAGTCGCAAACTTTCTTCTTTCTTCTCCTTTTCTTTTTGTGCCATCTTCTTTTCCAACTGTGCTCTTACTTCTACTGCTTCACGTGCCTATGAAAACGTGGGCATAACTGTTATGTGAAATCATTCACAGAGATCTCAATTATACACAAAANGAACCGTCCCACCTTACAACCCTTTAATGGAATGAATTGTGCCACCTTTTTAGTCAAAATTGGTCTCCCAGAAACTACCATGCTTCGTCTCCAGTTCAAACTATTACCATTCACACTTTACTCAAACTATAAGACGGATGTTTTTGAATATGTTATTTATTAAAGGATATAAAACATTTTAATTTAAACGGATATGTGAAATTGGCAGATCCATAACTTGCACATATTAACAGTATATTGTTTATATTTTAATTTTTACAATATACAAATCTGGAGAGTAAATTGTTTTAATTTGAAGAGCAAACTATACATTTAAATTTGAATAAATATTAAAATTTGAAAATTCGTAAATTAATATTAATGATATTTTTACTTTTGAGTCTTTTAGATCAAGTCTAAAACTGCAAAATAAGGGTGCATTTATATATATATATATATATATATATATATATATATATATATATATATATATATATATATATATATATATATATATATATATTTTTTTTTGCTCTTCATTTCACAATTGTCAGATAATACCATAAATAAATGATGGAAACAATATTAACTTCTGTTAAATAAATTATAATAGCAAATACGGTAGCTGATCGAATTAATAAACAATCTTACTCGCAATATCATGATCTGGCATTTTACATTTCCAAATTACACTATTGCATAAAAAATATTGCTTTGAATGAAAAAAATGCATTCAAGCTTGTCCCAAGGTATAGTTTGAAGATCATGATCAAGCCTGATATTATAATTTGAAAAAAAAAAAATATCAATTTCTGAGCGAAATTAAAAAAAGGCAACACTATCTTAGTACACCATTGCAATATGTTGAAATCAAATATAATGTAGGTCTAAATGTTTTGAAAATCACAAATAGAGCATGCACAACGTTCACTATACAGCATGTGTGGTGCATGTATTAGTGTGTGTGCGTGCGTGTGTGTGTAAGAATATGCGTATGCATGCCTGTGTGTGGTTCCAAAATACGACTAGAAGACTAGGGGAGCTTCTATCCCACGCACAAAAATTTTTCAGAATCTTGGCAAAGGAGGTGGCCATTCTGAAATGTAAAAATAATTTTTTGATAACGATATTACAATGATATTTTACCGCAATGAAAACTGACTTGAGATTAGATCAAATGAAAATAGAAAGGCTAAATCTGGCTGAACACCAAATTGAAAAAAAAAGTCTACTGAAAAAAGGGGTATGTAGTTCTTCGATATTTCAAAATAATTTTCAGTGAGTACAGCCTGCTTATATAACATGAATAAAACTACTACGTTAGTGTATTAAATGTTTAAAAATAAACGAAATGTTACACAGAACAGTTTCTAATGTAGGTACCTGAGAAGGTTCACACTAATTCACAAAGTACTAATACAGAAGCCTTTTAAAACACAACTGTGTTCCATTGCCCAATTTATGTGGTGTGGCTGCTATTCAAGTGACAGTATCTGGGCACCATAAAGTAATAGCAAATACATGTACAACTTTTATTATTAATTATGTGTCTATTGGCAGATCAAGATTTCCAGAAACTATCAACGTACAGCTTTCAGTAAATGCAGTAAACTACGCAGACAAACTGAAAGTTTAGTTCGTGTAATATAATAGGATATACGATATTATAACTTGGTAATATAGTATGAATTCGTCGGGAGAAGTATTTAAATTACTCTGACAATAGCCAAACACACCGCATTATCGAATTATACTCATAAGACGCAACTTCTTTCCACTTCTATAGGATTACAAAAGACATTTTACTCACAAAACATTTGCCTCAACCATGGATCCCTCATACATGATAGGTCCAAACTGCAACGGACGTCATGTTCGGTTCTGCGACTTCACCACGCCTTTACTGTGTCCTCTTACATGGTCAAGCTGTCAAATGACCAATCAAGAAGATAGTTCGCACTACGCTGAGCGACTTATTGTTATGCAAATTACAAGAAGTATGGAGCGTTTTGATTGGGGACTTACTGTTGTAAAAATTCTCAAGTAACAGTAATTTCAGTGGACAAACAGATTAGTTGATAATTTTTTTTATCTCTTGGTATATACAGATCCTTGAGCCTCATTGCAGAATTGCACCAAGACCTAATAGTAATACTATGCCTTCTCAACATATTTGGAAGGTTGTTGGTTTAGTCAGATATTGTTCGCTCACCCTTATCTGTTTAGACTTGTTGGACATCATGTAAAATTCCTGTTGTAGATGCCAAAGGCCTACGTCTGTCCATTTGCAAGTTTTTTTCCACCGCGAATAGGTAAATAACAAGTCCCATGACTAATTGACTCAGAATCTGTTTAATTTAAAACAGCATGCCTCATTGAACATAGATATACCCAGTGACTGTGAGAAGGTAACGGTCTCATAAAGTTTGTCACATCTAGGTTTTCCCAGTCTTTCTTTGTATAGATATCTAACGCTTTTATTATTTTTTTCACAAAAAGACGTCTTTTCATATATATACATATGTCGCTACTAACCCTGTTAACAAGGTCATTGTTTAACGAGGAAGATAAAGAGAGAGAACATGTTAGACCTTGATGAACAACAGATCCAGGAGAAGAACGCTTTCTTTCGCAAACTTTTACCTCCTTTAGTAAGAAAAAAACGCACTTTCTCATATAAAGTTCACTACCTTCAGCTTTTTAGTTTTGTACTCGGCCTTTTCGACTTTCCAAAGATAACTGACCGTGTGGCACGATGTAGGAGCGACTCCCACAGTTGACATTTAATCTACCGAGCCTGAAAAACGCCCCGACGTGGAACGCACCAACAAACTCATCGTGTTGTTCTTTTCGTCATCACGTTACCTTGGGTCAAACAAAGATTACGTCTTGGCAAAACATAACACAAATATATAAACATTCAGTTTCAAATGAATAACACTTTTGAATATTGCTTTGTGCATGCTGCGGGCAGCGAGCTCTCTTATAAGTCTAACAACTCAAACGTCGGTTTTTGTCTCGGCGGCCACTAGGCGGTGTACTAGAAGAAAAAAACAAAACGCCTTGTAACTTTTATAAATGAATATTTCCCTATAAATCTTTTATCAATCATCAGAAATATCGTTTTAGATTTCGTGCTTTCCATAAAAACATTTAAAAGCCCATACATAACTTTACCAATGATATCTTTTTATAATCCATCACTCCATCCTCGATTTAAAACAGTCTAGACTGAATTCCTCCACACTCTTCGTATGCCAATGACATATTCTTACGGTATTCCATGAAGACTTCTCTGGATCTAAATAGGCTTTTAGCTGATACGTAACCCAGGGTATTGACAAATCACCAGACATCATTTACAAAGTGACAGGGCAGCTGCATATCTGAAAGGTGTAACTTCAAGAAAGGTATCGCTGCATTGCACGACATTCATTACAAAATGCTCCCTAGAAGCCCTAGATCAGATTGGTGGTTTGCAGTCAACTGCAGCCCCTTTCAAAATCGAGGATCGTTACCACAAAAACAAATGTCCAGTTTGTAAAAGCTTCTTCATTATCAAATATATCTGACAGGAAAATCTACCAAGTGATTTCCTTAGTAATCTCTATCAAATGCGACTATATCTGCAGCACAGGTATACAATTCACTGCTAGCGTTATTACTCCCTTCAGGTGGGTCAGTTCACTTTTTTTTTTACACATCTGATATACATATTATACATGATTGCCATAGTTCATATCAAAATCCTGCTGTTTACACAAGATCAGTAATCTCGTCTTTTCTTGCCCTTATCATAATCACGACTAGACCGAGAGTCCTCTGCTGGACGTTTGGCAGCGCCACCTTTTTTGGCTTCAGTCAAGAATTTATTGAGACCGAAAGGATCCTCCTCCTCATCTCGTTCAAACTGAACAGGTCCTTCTCGTCTTCTGGTTCTGTCTGTTCCAGAAAATTCCTTATCTGGCACAAATCTGAAATGACAAAGTTATACCTGGATTTAAGGGCACCATAAAGAAATGAAACTGTTCAATTCTGTACACTTCAACAAAATTTTTCCAAACAAAAAAAAGATAAGAAGTACATTTTTTATCAAAAATTGATATTACTGATGGCTTAAGACCATTACATCAAAGGAACTTATCAAGCAGATCAAATTAAAATCTAGACAAACCTGTTTGTGTTGATGAGTTTGTCCAGATCATCTCCGTAGATGTCTTTATCCAGATTCTTGGACGGCCTGTAGATGGAGCCAGCAATGTCTTGATCTCCTCGCCATGGTTTGTCATACACATTGTATGAATCATCTTCATTAAAACCACTATCCATTCCCTGAAATATACAAAGATGGAGGTATTTCCAACTTAATTAAAACCTACTTCATCTATAACTTGTGTTAATTTCATTTACTTTTGAAGACATTAAGGTGAAAATTGGATATGATATATTTTTCATTAATTTACATCTGATTATTCAATCAACATTGAATATTTTGATGCTTAGAACACATTGAAAATAGAACTTACCTTGCTCTGGTTAAACAACCTTTGATCAAACTGAGCATCTTGGGATCTCCCAGCATTTGGAAGTCCCAGGGCAATCTTTTCACTAACATCACGATCTTGGTCGCGTTGAAGCTTGGACCTAAATTAATTGAAAGTAGTGTAAACTGTTAAACACAATGTTTCCTTACAAATCCATGGAGCATATACTAACAACCCATAGCAACAAGCACTTTAACACCATTCTGCTTTATGATTTTTAATTTGAGGGTACAGAATCAATAACATTGTATCCAATTTTGCCAGTGAGGAAATGTAGCTGGAAATAGACATTTTCTTCACCTTTTATCTGGTGCAGCTCTGGCAAGATTTCTTTCCCTCTGCCTGTCCTTTTGCCTATCTCTTCGCAATTCATCTCTCTCCCTGGCTTCATCATCTCCATCTGGAAAAGTGAAAGAAGCAAAATATGTCACTCTATGAATTTTCTGCCTCAATTATGCAGTTTTCTTTTTAACATTACTTCAAAATTCTGACAGGCAAATTAATGTTCCTTACAAAAAGAAAGAGACTCCTTGCTTTGGATCAAAGGTAAACTTTGCAATGTTGGTCTCTTACCATCCACTCTTTTAATGCCAGCCCTTTGTTCCCTTGCCTTTTGAGCCAGTAGTCGCAAACTTTCTTCTTTCTTCTCCTTTTCTTTCTGTGCCATCTTCTTTTCCAACTGTGCTCTTACTTCTACTGCTTCACGTGCCTATGAAAACGTGGGCATAACTGTTATGTGAAATCATTCACAGAGATCTCAATTATACACAAAATCTGGGTGACAACCATTCTGAAGAAAAACTCCAGCCCCTAGTTTTCACAGACAATCATGATCATTATTCACTAATCATCTTTAAATGAAAAAATAGCTCAATTAAGGTCTTTTATGAATGTCTTTATATACATACTTTTCTGTCTGCTATGTACAAAGCTTCTGCAAGTTTGGCAAAATTTTCATTAATATGGACTCCTTGCAAACCTCTGCCATCAGCTGCAAGACGCTTGTCCAATGGAATGGTGTATCCCTGAAGAATAAATTGATAAAAATGTATTCAAATTTGAAGTGTATTGCTAACTGAACACAAAGGTTCAACACATTTTTTGTGATAAAACAACTATGTTTAACCTTCACAATCATTTTATCCAGTCAAAAATATTGATATTAATTTTTTAAATCTCACCTTTGCATTTTTCCAGTTTGAAATACATGGTGGTATTTTCCATTCTTGCTGCTCTTTGACTGTAACCTGTTAACAATAGAAACATGAAAATTATTCTTCAAAGAGAATTCATTGCTAACCTGATTTAGGAATTTTTGGATAATCAAAATATACATCACACATATGAGGTAAATTATAACTAAAGATCACAAAGCTGCTTACTTTTCTGTTTGGGGAATGCATCACTGGAGCTGGAGGAGATGGTGGTCCTCTGGGTATTTTCTTGTTAGTTCTAGACAACAAACAAAGCTCATGCTATATCATCAAAACTTTCTAATTACATAAATCATATTCAAGCTGCTATGTCCATATTAAACTAAAGCATAAAATGCATTTACCATTATAACATTCATTACTTTTCAAAGAATACACATTTAATTAAAGAGTGGAATTAATTCATCGAAGCTGCACACCACTGGGCCTTTGACTATGCTAAAACTCACTTAAATCTGGGGGGTTCCATAGGGTCTTTCTGTACATCAACCATCCTAATGATCCTCTGCTTGGCTCCAGAATTGAAGGCCACCCCTTGCTGGGAGGGTGTATACCTAACATACTGTGCTGGAGCCTGCTTCTCAGCATGGCGCACTGGCAAGGCTGCAGAGATTTTACCTTGCACTATCTTCTCCAAAGCCTGGCGTGTTTTATCTGTGGTCTGTGAGTGGTACAAATGCCATTTTCATGAATATTATCACTAATACTATTGATATTTTCATGAAAAAATGCACAAATAAAATTTTCTATTGCAACTTCCAGACTTCCAAGAAATTAAAATAACCCAAACCCAGAACTTTAGATGAAAAACCTGAAACCCAACATGAAAATATCAAATATTAAAGAAACTTTGTAGATCTTACTAAGTAATAAGTAATTCACTGACATGCCAAACAGATACTGTAATCCAATTTCTCTAAACCCCACAATAACACAATATGTCACTAACTCATCACAGTACCTCTGCAATTTGTTCATCATCTGGCTTTTCCAGCTCTGGGTCATCTTCATCCATGGGTTTTGGCAGCAAATCTTGAAACTGACTGTGGATCACCTGATTTGAAAACGAACAACTATTACAAACACCTACAGCAATCTTTCTAGCAAAGTAAATGTGACATTTTCTATCAATAATCTCAATTATCTACACAGCAGCAATAAGGTCAATTCTGTTCATACGATTCCTAACACCATTAAAGGATGTCTAAAACCTTGCCAAAACAACAAATAGCTGCATTAAAAATGTCTCACCTTGTCTTTGCCATGTCCTTGTCTAGTTATGGCATCAAACCTAATTTTTCCAGTGCTATCTGTCTGCAGTGCCAAGGCATTTGATGTGCTTTTCTTTTTTCCCATAGCTAATGGGTACTGGGCAATAGGGACCTCTGGGTATGCACCTCCATCACCAAAATCCTAAACAATAAAATAGTGAATGCTGTACAACACTAGATGCCATAGCAATTTGTGTATCACAATCCGATACACACATGGCTTTACTCAAAATATCTAATATGCTTTTGCAAGATACCTACCGACAAAAGAACTAATGCTGGGAAAAGAACTAATATCAAGTATTTTCTTTATTATTTAATGAAATCAGATACCATCATGTCTGAAATATGAGACATGAATGGTCAATCATGTGAAATCAAATTGGGGATAATTTTGCAGACAAATAAGACATGGTTGGTACTAACATCCTGAGATCTAGGAACCCAGCCTTTCCTGTGTCCGTATGGTGGGGCAGTCTTCCTGCTAACAGGCATCAGCTGAAGATACGAGTTTTAAGGAATCATTTAGAATTCAGTGCAAGTCATTACACAACCAAAAGGATTATGAAGTTACTGATACATATCTTTTGGATTCAGATGAGCTTTTATTTAAAATGCTTAACATCAATGTTTCACTTAAATAGTTGAAACTTACAGAGGTAGCAGCATAAATTATACTATATTATTTATAATGTGACGGTACTGAAGTGAAAGTATTTATAATAAAATTATAACTCTCCAGTGCAACAACACAAAACACAAAATCACAACACAAAATCAATCACTATTCTTTTACCTGAGTTTGTTGCCTTTGTCGCCTTTCATCTTCATCTCTATCATAAAAGTTTTGTGACGGAGTAGGGAGTATACTGGAATAAATGACATATCATTTTTACTACTACACTGTGCTATGGAGGATTAACATTTGAGGGAAATCAACTCTAGTTTCCTTCAGTACAGGCCACCATCATGTTTTTTTTTTCTAAACAACGGCCTCAACTGCAAGATCCTGACTGACGCTTAGAAAGGAGAAGGCAATTTATTCAGATTGGATGAGACTTTATAACATCTGAGAAATAACAAAAACACACTGTGTTATCTCATTAAAATGAAAAACGCTGCTATTTCGTCATCTTGAGTATAACTACTGATAAAAACATGGTGTGTGAAAAAAAAAAGATCACGAATATTTGTCCAATAAGAGGCAATCAGTAGCAAAAAAATGTCCAGTGCTCTGTGTGCAATTTGCACAGTATTTTCCGACTCAAGGATGGGATTAATTAGGCATTCAATGGGCTAAAAAATCCCACCGTTTACATGATGTTTACTTCAAATGTTCGTTTCTTATAAAAATCAGGTGACCTGTGGGGCTTAGTTGGAATAATAATAGTTTTCTCAAAGTAACATACCTCGCCAGCGAAGCCATGTCTCTTGTCTGTCGTTCTTCGTCTTAGAGCGAGAAGTTACGTGACTCTCTTTTGTAGACATACTATTTACTAAAGTTGTTTATTATATATTCGAATACACACAATTACGTAAAATTTGAAAGATTTTTTTTATTTTAACAAAATAAATAACACAATTAATGCTATTAAAATGTTAAACCCATCATGCATCTGTGGTCGCCGGAAGTGTCGTGAAGAATCGTCCGCTAGGAACCTTACCGGAGTCGACTTTTCATCGTATGGTATTAACGGTATGTAACACAACAAACTTTTAACAAATGAAGTTTTGGGAACTTTGAGGATAAAAATGTTTCAGGGAAGCTCCGAGTTAAATAACATTTAGTTAGCACCCCGGACCCAAAGCTTGATTATGTACATAATCTTGTTTCGTAACTTTACTTTGTTAGTCCACAAGACAATTGTCACGAGTGTTGCCGTAGGGTAGTCGTACTAGTAGTACCTGTAATAGTAGGCGCACATATAACATAGCTACGTTAAGATTAACGCTTGAAAAAAAAACTATTGTGCCATCTTAATTCTTTGCAACTACATGTCATAAACAGTAGTGTAAACCGTACCGTAGTAAATAAGCTATTGTGGTATTTGAAGCACTGTCACCTTGATTGGTTAAACCAACTTAGTATAGTAAGAAATAATAGTAATAAATAATAATAAAACAATAATAATAAATATATGACAAAATAATACTATACCAGTCTTCCAGAGTGAAAAAATCAAAATAGGTTAATTATTTTTAAATTAATATCATATCTCCATGTATGTAATAATAAAATAAGTTAAACTTGTGATAGAGAACCACAGAAAATAAATGATAAATTCCAAATGAAATAGAAGCAGGCAAATTATCACACTCAAACTTGGTACACCTACTTTTAATTTCCCAAGCTATATTATGCCAGTGTTCATTTGTAAATTCCATTGTATGAAATTCCCAGAATCAGTCCTAAATACCTCTGTCAAATGGAAACACAGCAGAAACACCTGGGTGCCAATTGAGGACTCTGCTGCTCAGAGTTGGCATGAAACTACCCTACTGAGGGTAGGGAATATCCCCCCCCCCCCCCGAAATCACCAATCACCAAGATTAAAACAGTTCAATCACTAAAAAAATCTTTAGGCCAATCACCAATCACCATGAATTCCTGAATCATGTTTCAGGCAGAATATTGGGCTCAAATAATGCATCACGCTCGAAAAAATAAGGCCAATCACATGGAATGCAAAAGGTCTTCCCTACCTTCTCTATTGGTGCCACAGATTGATTTTCACTAGATAATGACATATTTGCCGGTAGGCAATTCATGACTTTTTTTCTGCTGTTGATTTTAGCATGGAATTAATGTCATCATTTAGTTGGCCTCCAGTGTAGAGGAGAATAAAATTCCATCACGAAAAAAAGAGCTAAGCTAGTGGACAGTTATAGTCACTTTTGGCTTTTGCAGAGTCCTGGAATGGCTTAAAGTAGATGTTTAAAATACTAAGGTTTTAATCTCTCTGGTGTGATAAAGAAAGTGTTTGACTCTGAGGGTTATGTGGTAGACTTTTCAATGACTGCACACCACACTGGAGCTACAAGTATTGCAAATATACACTACACTAGAACACTGCTTACTGTTGATTATAATAGCTGCTAGCGCTTTCTGTCATGTTCCTTTGCTTATGATTACAACATGGAACTAAGTAAGATTTTTTATCAATATCTCCAGATGATGTTGAAAAGACTCCTGAAATACAGTTTTGGAGCAGGGGCACTTGGAGGCAGTGCATATTTTCTGTATAAAAATGAATGGGAAGTGTCAACTCTTGGAGCTGTCAGGTTTGGAAGGGCAGCACTGACAGTAAGTATTATATTGAAATATTTTTCTAATGTATGATATGAGCTAGTATATCCTATTATATTCAAAATGCATTTTTTAAGTGCCTTAATTCATTGCTACTAATAGCTTATTTTAAAGTGATTTAGCTGCTGTTAAAATGGTATGTATTTGATACTTTTCAGATAGCCCGCGTAGCATTAGACTATAAACTTAGTCTTCAAGGTCAAGATTCTAGTACTGAAGAGTATAAAAAAATAAAGTCAGACGTGAGTGATTGTAGATTTTAGTCGTATAAGATGTAATTAATGATATTGTTGATATTCAGAATTCTCATTTGTGAAGTTTTTACAGAAGGTAAAATTAATCACTTGGTTTCACTCGGGCCAACAAGGGTTTATAACAGGTTATTTACACTAAAATTGCTTGATTTAAAACTGTTTCGGAAGCACAGATTGAAATTGCAACACATCAGAAAATCTTGCAAAATTCAAGATGGTAGTCACAGGTCAAAATACAAGGGACAAGGATAATTTAGAACAAGGCAGGAGAATATAGACCAATAAGGGAATTGGGGTGATTTTGAAATATTGATGACTGGCTTTTTACTAGTGAGATTGAGAACTTGTTTCAACAAGCATAATATATATACAGAATTTAAATGAGCACTTTAAAGAAGAATAGCACCTTCTCTTGTTATAGTCATGTTTCAAATAATCATATTATATTATATTCTGATAATGTAATTTAGTGTATTATTTTGTGTAATTAGGTTCACCTGCGCTCTGCCTTACGCCTGAGGGACATGTGTTGTGCCAACGGTGGCTGTTTTATCAAAGTGGGGCAGCATGTAGGAGCTTTAGACTATCTGCTTCCACAGGAGTATGTAGAGACCATGAAAGTTTTACACAGTAAAGCACCAGAGTCTGACATTCAAGATTTATATAAAGTTATAAAAGAGGATTTAGGAACAGATGTGAGTAGAAATGGATGAATTGGAATTTTTATTTTTAGAAAAATTGTACCAGAAGAGCATTTACTTCAAAGCAGTTTGGGAAAGTGATCATTTAAAATACAATTTGCAATATTGACAATAATTTGATAACCTTTAACCCACAGTGTGTCACTGTAGAAACTAGAGAATAGACCTTAGTAGCTTTTGGTGTCATTTTGATCATTCCTGGATATAAATGCATTAAAAAAAGCTTTAGTGTCACCATTTTGGTATCATTTATCCTCTTTAGTCCTCAGAACTATTTGCCAGCTTTGATCCCCACCCCCTGGGAGCAGCCTCCCTGGCTCAGGTGCACAAAGCCTCACTACAGGATGGTACTGTGGTGGCTGTCAAGGTGCAACATCCTAAGGTCAAAGGTCACTCATATGTGGACATGAAATCTATGGAGGTATATACTTTGGAGCCTGCACCCCAGAGGCAAAATTTACAGTTAACATTTCCTTTTAACTGATTTATTTTTATAATTTTGAAAAAATAGGAAGATAGGGTGGATGGATACATTAAAACATTGAGTCTTTCAATATGTACATGTAGTAGATTATAGTACATCTACAGGTATTATCATATGTTAGAGTGCTAAAAAAAAGAAAGAAACAAGGAAAGAAAAAATACTGGACATCTCCTGTCTTCTTTTTCTTCAGCTCCTAGTTCACTGTATTGCATGGCTATTCCCAGAGTTCAAATTCTTGTGGTTAGCTGAAGAAATGAAAAAAAACCTGCCAAAAGAGCTTGACTTCCTTCATGAAGGGCACAACTGTGAGAGAATGGCCAGAATATTCGCAAAATTTAAATTTCTAAAGGTAATGTTTGACATGGGGTAACTACACTCTACTTCATGATTTTTTAAATCAACATTGTTTCTGCTTAAAGTACTCATAACAGTATCAGAATTTTAGCTACTGTATAATCCACTTTTTAGAGTTTCAATATGGGTATGCAAGAAAAGTTCTGTCATCTGATTATTTAGTATACATGCAGGTACCATGTATGATAAACTTCCCATAGAAAAGTAATTTTTTAATTCTCCATACTGCAATTGTAGGTTCCAAAAATATATTGGGATTTGTCTAGTGAGCGTGTATTGACCATGGAGTTCTGTGAGGGAGGACAGGTGGATGATAAACAATACATGACAGAACATGGCATCTCTGTCAATGAGGCAAGTACTCAGATACTCTGAAACTACAGGAATTATTTTGAACCCTGTCACAGTTCATGTAGTGCTGATTGCCTTCATTTGCATAATTTTATGTAAGTGTTTAAATATCGTTTAGATAAAGTACTTACAATTACTTTACCTCCAAGTTGTGTGGAAGTTTGTGAGAAACAAATTGGTTGCATTTGTCTCTTAGACAAATAATGTCTTACTCCTGTAGTTGACTGTACCTTGAGATGTTGTTTGTTATAGCACAAATGGTTATTACAGGTGTCCCGCCAGCTTGGTGAATTGTACAGTGAGATGATTTTTGTCCAAGGTTATGTCCACTGTGATCCTCATCCTGGCAATGTGCTGGTAAACCAGACTGAAAAAGGACCTCAGATTGTTCTGCTGGACCATGGTTTATATACTGTAAGTTGGCGATAATGCCAGGAATTTCACATTTTATTGGAATGTCAGGATTTTTTTAATTTTTTTTTTTTTTTTTTTGTGATTTTCAAATTAATTTCAGTTTATAAGAAATAAACTGGCTAAGTTATTTGCCTATTGGAAACCACTTCTATATCTGACATAATACTCAAGTTTGTCACAGTATTATATCAACACAAGCTATATCAAAGCTATATCAACATATTAAAGCTATATCAACATTTATTTCCTGAAAATTATACACCCATCTTTCAGACCTTGACAGATTCTTTTCGCCTGAACTATGGCCACTTATGGACCTCACTCCTTGATGCTGATCTGGAGGGTATGAAGCACTATGCAGATGTGATGGGCTGTGGTGACCTCTATGGACTGTTTGCATGTGTGGTGACTGGCAGGTCATGGACAGCTATTTCCTCTGGAATTAAAGAGGTCTCCTACTCTACTGAAGAAGTGAGGAATTTTGTAGTAGTTTTGCTAATTTAACATAGTCCTTGAAGCAGTGCTTTTTAAAATTTTACACAGAGAATGTTTGAATCTTTTAAGAATTTTCATTGTTGGTGTGCAAGGTTTTTATAGACTGTATAATGATGAAACTTAAATGATCATTCAAATCTCTTTTAATAATAAATAGAAATGTCAACAAAGATGACATATAGTCATGTCGCTTTTAATCAATCACAAACTATGCATGTAAATTGTGATAATTCATTTAGTTTCTTATTTGATTTTTTTTTCAGGACAATGAAATTAAAAATTATGCTGCCACCTATCTGACAGAAATTGCTGCAATTTTGAACAGAGTTCCCAGGGAGATGCTGCTTATTTTAAAAACCAATGACTTACTCAGAGGAATAGAATTTTCTTTAAAAACACACGCAAAAGCCAGTTCTTTCATCACAATGTCACGGTGCTGTGTACGAGCCATTGCTGCTCAAGAGTTACGAGAATGTACCTCCTGGTGGTGCAGAGTGAGAGTAACAGTGCACCAACACATGTCCTTATTGAAGATAGACTTGTACGAGTTCTATATATGGTTAAGAGAAACATTTATCATAAGTACTTTTCTAAGTGTATTTTGGCATAGGTAACATTGTGCTATTTGTGTATTCATTTGTGATGTTTTGGTCCAGTGGTATTTAAGTACTCAGGGAAGAAGAATTTTTAAGTTAAAATTTGTTTTGCCAGGCAGATGTAAAAGGATATTAAAGAGGAAGAAAAGAGTGTAGTTTGAGACATTTTTCAGAGCCGAGTAAAATATTTTAATGCATGTAACCAATCTTACTATCTATTAAAATGTTGCATGTAATGTATAAAGTTGAATATTTATCCCATGTTCTGGGTTCTAGTTAAAATTCTCATTTAGTTCAGCTACAGAAGCAGATGAAAAATGAATAACGAAGTATTTATTAGCAAGTACATCTGTCATTAAGATTACATCTGACTATAGGACTTGAACAATGTTTTTTGCACGTCTATTTGCACACTTTTCATTTGAATAAATGCATGAAACCATTATACTTTTTCCATTTCAAAAAGTACATTTTTAAGAAACATCTCAGATAGCTACTAAATGTTTACTATGGAACAAGCAGTTATTGCATTGTTAAATATATTTTCTTATTTTTCTTTCCTTTTTCTACCTTATAGTTTATGTTCTTTTTCCTCAAACTGCTCACCATTCCCTAGCAAAACTGTTCTTATTCTCTTATGTACAACTGATAGAACATGTTTTTTCTTTTTACCTTTATGCGTCTTGAAAACTGACTGGAGCCGTTTTAATTCTATTTTCTGACCAGTCTTTAATTTTTTTCTAATGACTCCTGGGATCAATTTGTCAACTTGCACAGATTTCAGAAATGTTACAAATGAAGGATAGTCTGTGACATGCTTCTGTAGGTAGGAGTCGATCTGCTCTTGCTGATTTGCTTTGTCAACAGCATGCTGTGCTTCCTTGCTTCCCATTTGTAATATTTCAACTACTCTTTCTTGTACAGTTGGAATCAAATTTTTATTGTCCTTATCTCTATTTTTCTCAAAAAAGCATTTGAGTTTCTCTAATAGAAATGCATGACTAGCTTCCCAGGTCAGTGAAACACTTCCTTCTCTTTTAAGAAAAGCCTCAAATGAGGTGTAATCTGTAATTTTCTCTTGGACATAAGATTTTGTGCTCACCTTTTGTTTAGTTTTAAGTTTAGCTTTCTTGGAAGCTATTTTCGAAATTTCTCTCATGAGAATGGAATGTATCTTTTCTGCACTAGATCCGAATGTCTTCTGACCATGCACAGTCCCACTGTCATCCAGAAGTTCTGTAAGTGATTTTTTTACTCCATTTGCTAACCAGTCAATCTGCAAGGCACGATCTTTAATTTCTTTCAGATCTGATACATTTTTGCTCAACTTCAAACGTCTAAGCAGCATAGAGATGTCTTTCTTTTTCCTTTTAAAAGCAGCCAATTTGCCTTGTGTGGAAATGTTCATTTCCTTAATTTCAGGCTCAATTTTCCCCTGTTGTTCCTTAAATGCATCATGATAATTTTTCTCAAGATTAGAGTCAATTTTAATATCTTTTCTCACAGCCAGCTTGGGGGACATTTTCTCTCTTTTGAGTTTAAGCCTCTTGGAAGGTGTCACATCATTGTCATAAAATGTGGTGTCTTTTTCACCAAAAGATTTCCTTTTTTGTTTCAACTTTGCACTACCTTCAACACTTAAGGTCAAATAGCCCTCTTCCCTCTGTAAAGCAGATGTTGCTTTTGTCTTCAGACTTCCCCTATGATTTTCTATGTTATCTGAGTAAACCTTTTCACCATGTTGTTGTAAAAACAGCTGCTTTATAAAACTGCCTTCTTTTAGTGGTTCTGAAAAAAAGAAATGTAAACTCTGATCACCATAACCCCCTTCACTGTAAAAAAAAAATTTCTTGCAAGTAGGTTTTGCTTGGCTGTTGTAAACTACAAATATTCAAATGTGTGATAAAATCTCTTCAAAAAGAGAAAAAAGCCCTTAAGCCATGCAATGAGTACCAACTTTGGGCAATATTTCCAAAATAATTGTGTTCTAAAGGATCAAAAATGAAAGAGCACTTACCTCCAAGGTCTTCCCCAGCTCCTAGTACTTGCCAGCTAGCAGGTTGTGGAGCTTGGGGTGTTTGCATTGTGCTCTCCTCACTGGTATAAAAAAATATTGCTTAAATTACAATGGTTACATATGTATTTAATTGATTATAAGTGGAGTGGTTTCAATCCTTTTTTCAGTAATTTTACAAAAAATGTGTTTGTGATATAATCTATGATTTGTTTAATTTTCTTGAGGTTAGATTTGGTGTTGTGAGAGCCAAACAAAACAAAATTGCCACAATAACTTGCCAAGTGTTGACCTCTGTGTAAGACACAGACTGCCTGTATGTAATAGAATCACTGAATGATATAATAGAATGATATATTTGGTAAACTGAAAGGCAATATAATCTTGCTAATGTTGCTGAAATCCTGTGATGTGTTGAAGTAGCGACATGAGTATATGATACATTTTGAAAATATACTTAGTAAAAGTTAACCACGTGATATATTACAAATTATTTTAAAATCTGGATAACACAGAATTTAGTCATAATGTAAAATTGATAAAAAAAGGTACCTTTCCTCTCCTGACACAGTGAGTGACTGGGGAATATCATGAATGAGCTGCTCTAAATTATCAGGAAGACTGACTCCAACCGGAAGCTGGAATGCCATACAGAAAAAAATTAAAAACAAGAGACATCTATGAAGTGAAGAGATTAATCAGCTTGGTATGTGTATTATATAATGGTAATTTTTCTATAAATAAGCATGCTAAATATAATTTTCACTGGTTTGTGTTCAAAGAACTTCAAATGGTATAAAGATTTTTTTACTCCACAACTCTCATTACTTTTTAAAAACAGATTGAAAGTCACCCTTAAAGTTTTCACATCTAAACGGCTGCCAATGAGTATTGAATATTTACTGTATAGCACATAGTAATCAAGGGAGACCCACCCACTCAGTGGTAGTTCCTTTCAACTTTGACACCCAACTTCTCAAATCACCATACCATTTGACAAGATGGTGGAGTAGGGACCGGCACAATATCCTGAAATGATGCCATTAAGAATAATAAGGACGAGAATGTCCACAATATTTCTTAAAATTATATGCAAATAGGCAAAGCAAATGACTTCAGTGCACATTGTATTTATTGTTTGTTTAAATGTAGTGATGCCAAATGTTATGTTAACAAAAGAATGTTGAAATGATAAAACCAAAAAGACTAAGGAAGATATTTCTTCTTGATGTGTAAATTTTCAACGACCAATAATATAATCAATTAATTAGCAGCTTATTCAGTGTACATTAAAAAATGCAGGAACTGTTAATATTCATAGTTATAATCTACAAACCATATCCTGGAGACCAATCCAGTGAAAAAGACATTATTAGGTATAAAAAATCCACTTCTCAGATGCTGCAGGATATTACTAAATTCTGTGTTAAGAAGCATATAGGTTAGCACAGTGGCAATGTTGCTTATAATAATTCTATAAGTGAGATGAAAACTTCAAGCACTGGACTATATCAGCAAACAATACAAAGTATATATCAACGATATATACTATTGCACTTTTGCATGGCGTGTTAGGAAATAGATTTCATCAAGATATCATAGCATAATGCAGGTCTCAACACTGGCACATTTTAGACCCGTTTTCAAAGGTTGATTTCATCCTGATTAATGATTGAATGGACGTTAAATCACCTCTCTATAGATGATTAAATCCTCAGGAGTTTACAGGTATGAAAAAAGAAATTTTCACCTGAGAATAAATCCACTTTAGAGTTCATTTTCCAGGCCCATTTTGATTGAACATCTTGGTAATTAATGCAGTCATGATTACACATATTAATTTACATAGTTCACCAAGAGAAATGATTGGAAAAAAATTATTGGTTTTGTCAGACAGGTCAAATTTATGACCACCTGTCTGAAGGTGCCCCTGTGATGCTAAGAGAAACAAGGATACAGCTCTAGTTGCTGACAGTATATCAAAGTCTGTGCCATGAGATGTGCTGCCCCCTGCAGGCGAACCAGTAAATACTCCAGCATCTGTCTTGATGGAACATGCAGGATATCACTCTGGAAATCTTCCAATCTGTTATTAAAGAAAAAAAAAATAGATAAAAAAGAAAGAAGGAAAGATAACTGGTTCGTCAGCTTTTTAACTAAGGAGTTTTGATCATAACAGTCCATAGTAGTGAATGGTTTTATAGATAAATAAATTAAAGAAACTATTGCTCAAAATATTCTTTAAAATTAATTTCCATTGCATCTTTAATTTTGTCACATTCATTTATGCAATTTTCTGAAGTGTTGTGCAACCTTATAAAAGACTCCCAAAAATTAATAAAAGAAGAAAGTCATGAAAATGTCAGGATCTACTAACCTAGGAAAACTTTGAGCAACATTGTCCAAACAACCATGCAAGTTCAGCTTTAGAAAATGACTGAGACATTTATCAACCTATAAACCACCAAACCAGAGAATACATTCAAAAATGGAAATACAGTGTATAAGTGATCATGACTGCAATATCAGCATGATTTTGATAAAGCTAAATTGTAGGCAAGTTAACTACATGAACCAAATCAATACAATCTATAAAAAAAAAAGAGGTTATATTTTTTAGCCCAGACAAGTAAACTATACTCAGACACGAGAAAAAAATTTACAATAAATACTAGCATGATCCTTAAAAAAAAACTTCCCTGTTTGGAGGGGAGTTTAATAGTGGAAGATCAGGCATGAGACATACTGAATTACCTGCTTCATTCTCTGTAATGTTCTTTCATAGCGGAACTGACAGTTCATTTTGTAATTGACCCTGCCCAGAAGAAATATCTCAGAACCCAGGGCATCTTGATCAGACAAGTGAGTCAATGCAGTCTCCAACAGATCCAGAAGCTTGTCAAAGTCTGAAAAGTATTGTTTACAGAAAGTGAAAGAATTTATTCCCCTGAGAATGAAAAGCAAACTTTAGCATTAAAACTTAACTGCACACAATGCGTGAAGTTTAAAATATTTCAGCCACTGAAACTGTGTCTGCAATGTATGATAATTGTTTCAATTAAATATTTCTCAAACTTTTATCTTCTTATAAAACTGCTTCAAGTTGTTCAAATTAATTATTCTAATTTGGTGTATAATCTTGAATTAATAAGAGGTGCTTCAGCTTTCCAAATATAACTATGTTGGCTATTGAAATAATTCTCATCTTACTTTTACCTATATCTCTCAGACTCGAGCACAACAGAGTACACAGAAATGTAACTGGGAGTGCTTAGGCCTAATTATATGAACTTTGTGAAGCAGGGCTACAATTACCAAACTAAACCTTGTAAAGTGTACTGAAGTGTAGATAAAAGCCTTGTAATTGTATAATACATGTACTATATGCTTGTAATTCATAAACACTGTGGGCACATCAAAAGGCTTAACTCACCAGACGGTATTTCTTCTTTCTTGTAGGCTATACAGCAAGTTGGTGGTGGTTTCAAGTTCGTTTTATTCCAGTAATCCATCTCCTCGTGTCCCTTGTCTTACTCGTTTTTTAAAACTACAGTAGTTTAAATTTATTTTCCTAATTTCATTAATTGAGACACTTTAGCAGCATCTACTTCAATCCGTTTTGTTAGCAGCGTCTCATTGTTGAACCTTCTTCTTCTTTCAGAAAGCTTCAAACAGAAAATAATTACAACCATCGAAATAAAAAAATGAACAGATTTTAGTACACGATCGGTCTCGTCACGTTCGTTCACTGGGCGCTGCCATGTTGCAAGTAACTCTCGTGTCCTCCTCAAATCTCGTTTGGAAAACCAAAGTATTCTTCATAACATTGGATCGTTTTAGCTCTTGGTGTATAATATTATGGTCAATATTATATCCAAGACAAGTTGGTTCCGGCTTTGAACCCAATTTATCATCAACTCCACCAAAATCTGTCCTCGGCTCTTCAGGTCATGTGATTAGGCGAGAGGTAAATATACTTCCGGCATTCTCCTCCATTTTACCAGAAAATACGTGGCAATGTGTTATGATCGTTGAATAATCACAGTAGCATTAATATAATGGGGCTTTGCAAGTGCCCAAAGAGAAAAGTGACAAATTTATTTTGTTTTGAACATCGAGTAAACGTTTGTGAGCACTGTTTAGTTGCCAACCATCCAAAGGTAAGTGCACTGCACTGAGAGGTTGTGGTCAATTGAATGAAGGATATCCACTTATACCGTAATAGTCTTACATGATGCATTATGGATGATTTGTTTACACTGCCAGTGTGGCATTTTAAAGAAAGCTTTAGAAATTGGCTTTGGTGGTTAGAGCCGTTTTGGAAAAATGAGCAAAGATACAAATTGGATTAGTCAATTGAAAATGAAAGTTCAATACTATACCACAGAAAGTATCTCTGGCAAAGCTTGAATTTATTTCATTTTACAATGTTATTTAGTCTGATGCATGCACGGAATTGCATTTTCTAACATATTTATTTATAAAAATATTTCAAAGAGCAAATTCTAACAACCTTTTTTCAAATATATATATATATATATATATATATATATATATATATATATATCAACAATAAATAAATAAAAAAAATGTATAAAGTACTTCTGTATATTTCAGTGTATTGTACAGTCTTACCTCCAATGGTTACAAGACAGTGATTATAACCCAGTTTGTACATTATGTCAGAGGTCTTTAGCAGATGAAGATGCTGGAAATTGTGTGCGACTTTTGTGTTATGGTAAGTATGTAGAGTAAGCTTTTGGCTGTTGTTGCAAAATTGTAAGAAACTACTATCTGTGACACAGGCCGCAGTCAGTACCGATGATCTGTGGACTTACTAGCCTGTGAATCAAACATGGCTGACTCCACATGATGCTGCTAATCCTCTAATGGTCTCCCTGCCTACCACATGCAGGAGCCCAGCAATTAAACCTTGGGCCTGAGATTTAATCTGTTTTTAAAAATTGCAAGGACCCTACAAGCTTGGCACATGTTAGAAGATAAGCGGTATGGCCATATATGTTCCGCTTGCCAGTTAGTCTATGGATAATCTGTTCTGAAAGTGCCCATAAACAACTTATTACAAACATTTTGTGAGCTTAGTGGGAATGTCATGCCACCTTGATTGATGAATGTCATTATGATATAAAAAGGCTGTGACAGATATTGATTGATGCAGAAGAAATTTTGCAAGATGCTAATTACCAGTATTGCTTTTAGAGGATTGTGTAGACTGACGTAGGAGATATTACCAAGGCTGCAGAATCAAAGTATTGATGTGTTAAAAGCAGTGTCATATAATTGCAATTTATTTTGATTAAATTAACATAGATTGGATAGTTTTGAGAACTGAATTTTTAAAGTTAGTTGCATTTACATTTTTCTTTTCTTTTTATCCATCCATTATGTGATTTATACATATAGATATATATATATTTTTTAAATTAATTAATTTATTTATTATTATTATTATTTTTTGTTTTGTTTTCAAGATGTGTTTCACTGGTCATGTCTGAATGCATATGCCCAGCAACTCCCAGCTAATACAGCACCTGCTGGCTACCAGTGTCCTGCATGTAAGACTGGAATATTCCCTGCAAATAACATAGCTTCACCAGTGGCAGATGCTTTACGGACTTTGTTGTCAGAAGTGAACTGGGCACGTGCAGGACTGGGATTACCATTAGTAAGTGATGACTTTGTAAATTTTCTCAAATTTCTTTGAGGTTTCAAAATTTCCTCTTGGATTAATAATTAGATTTAATGGTAAAGAATTTTTAAAGTTATTGGCTTTTATGTTAAACCAAACATATATTACATCTTAAAATGTATCATAAGGTTTTTGTAAATATAATGCGGTATAATTACATATATGTTTTACTCTACTGTAGATAGAGGAGCCAAGTCTGCCCCCTTTGCCCCCTCCCCCAGTAGTGTCACAGTCACCAGAGCAGAGCTTACCCAGTCAGAGTAATGGTATTAGTCAGTCATTACCAGCACAGAACCATATCCAGGCAGATGGCTTTATTGGGCAATCCTACACAGCTGGACACACCAGCTACCCAACTCCCATTTCTAGTAAGGTGGACACAAGGCAATACCAAGGACACAGTGCCATGCCAAAACCAACCATGCACAGCGTAGTTAATGTAGATGACATGCCTCCTTATTCTAGGGAAAAAGCTAGTAAGTAATATATCTGAAAGAAGCATGTCACAAGGCTAACAAGGTCTTGATATCTCTCAGTTTTAAAATGCCAAGAATAACGTGACACTCATATATACAAATTAGATTTGAAAATGCCTTTATGGTATAACCATGTAAATGAAGCATGGACAACAGGTATTGTGTGTAGATGGTGACATTAAATCTTGTGTAAGACCATATACAGTATATCAGTCGATTTAATACAGGTGAGATATTGCTTGAACTAGATATTCATGCTACAGTAAAACAAAGATAAAAATGCTGCTTATTTATTTATTTATTTTTATTTTTTTAAAATGCACTGTGATATTATTAAATGTGATCACGCACTTATTGTAGATCCGAGAAGACTGTTTGAAGGCACTAATGACATGGACTTGCTCAACATGTCTAAAGATCATGATGAAGACAAATATAAAAGAAGACCCGCTCTGCATTGGTTATCCAAATGGTTTAAGTAAGTAGTACTTTTAGATAATATGTAGTAAGCAGTGGATATTTGATTCATTATGTGATTATTTTGACAATGAATACAATTCATTGTATAAGTCCAGAACAAATATTTAATTAATTCAGAACAGTACTTTTGAATTTTGATATTTTGAGCTTATTTGTTTGTTTGACTTCTGCAGATTTCATAATCAGAAGCTTTCAATTTTGTTCTAATTTCAGATCAAGAGAAGGGAAGAACAGGAAAGACCCATCATCAACATATAAAAAGTTCCTTGTAGTATTAGTCATTGGATTATTAGGATTCATTACAGTTATATTGATATTCTCAAAAATGGGGAAGGCGGCATCTGATGAAGATCCCTTCTTAGACCCAATGGCTAACCCAAACATAAGAGTGAATGAAGGGGAATGAATGTGTATTTTATGTGACTGGATTTTTTTACATCGGCACTTTATATTCCGTTAAATGAAAGTTTTTTAACAGGTCACCGTAAAGATTTTTTTCCAGCAAAGCAATGTGTTATAAAAGAAAAAAAATGATAGAATATAATGCAAAATAAGGTTTCAAAAGAAGAAAAAACCAGACATCTCCAAAATTTGACAAACTTTTTCTTTTTCAACATTCACATTCCAACTAGCAGACAGTAAAAACTTCACATCAGACAAGGATTTAATCCATAAAAAGAACTATTTACTCATGTATATTTGTACATATGTTTTGTATATATATTACTAAATCATATGGTGATGATAGAAGGGAAAAGTGTACGGTTGTGGAATTGCATTTGAGCTGGGGGTGGTCCCATTTTTTGTTATAAATTTATTTTATTCCTTGAAAATATTTGCTAACAAACTATGTATAGTAACTTTGTTGAATCCAAGCAAGTTATTATTTTGAAATGCTAGTGTAATGTTAAGTCTTGTCACGGAACAAACGCATACCTTCCCTACCAGTAAATTGGTAATGATTATGTTGAATAGCTTTTATGCAATATGTAAGGAGTGTACCATAGGGATTGGTATTAAATATTAATAAACCCGAGGAACACTCCTCAATGTAAATTTTAATTACAATATTGTTATAAATTTAATCAATTAACTGATTACTATAATCAATTAATGGATGTCCAGTAAAAAAGGGAAAAAAAAAACTGTTTTGCTTCATCCTAAGACACTTACATGTTTCACATATCCATATTTTTAAGAGTAAAGGCTGGATACGTAAAAAAACTGACTTGTACAGTAACAATACAAAATTACAAATATCGTTGATCATCCACATTTCCGGTATTCGGTGAAGATTCCTTTTAACTTGTGTTAATTTCACTTCTTCAAATTACTGTCTCTGAAACCTGCATCTGAATGAGTTGGCCATGTTCTTCATTATGGTTAACCAGCATTGCATGCAAATAATTCATTTTCCAGTATCAGCGAAATTTCTATAATGCTCTGGTCTGTACTGAAGAAACATCAGCTCAATGATGACTCGAATTCCCATCAGTAGCGTGTTGACAACTTGGATATGAAAGGAAAATAAACAAGGCAGCAAAGCTGTCAAATGTACAGACAAGAAGCTGAAATAATAATGCACAAAATAGCTAGGCTATTGTCAATTCTGATGCAATAATACATTATGCTTAACTTCAAATTCAGCATCAAATTTTCATTATGCACATCATGTAATACCGATGTACGCTAAATGTTAAACTACAAAAGGTTTCAGGTCCATGAGAGTTCAAGTTCACATTTTGAAAATGCCAGAATTAGAAAAATGAAAATTGCACAAAAAATTGCATAACTTCAATAAAAAATGATAATCTAATAGAGTTTTCTAATTTGAGTGAATTTCAATCCTAAGAATCATTCTTGTAATTTAGAAAAATAATAAGAAACACAGTTTTCTTTTCACTACGTTTGTGGTGGCATTGCACCAAGTAGTTTTTTTGTCAATTTTATATGCAATATTACAAAATGATTAATGGTATAATAACTACCATATTTTCAAATATCTACTATAAATAACAAGGACATCTAGAAAATTTGTTTACCATTTGGCTTTATGCCTAGTGGGAGTTTTAAGTCCCACATTGAAAATGCTTATATGTGAAAAATGAAAATTTCATAAAAATGTATAACTTGTACTTTTATTTTCATTTTCAATACTTTTTTTTACATAAAACAATTATCAATTTACTGTCATTTTTATACGATCAACTAAGAAAATTGCTGAGATGGGGAAAATATCAAGAGAACAATTTTAAACATCCAATTTAGTCCATTCTGAGATTCTGAACACAGTGAATGATTGAATCAGACAACCTGCAATGATATGAGTTTATTTCCATTTTTGACACTTTATTTCACAATGCATGATAACAAGTTCATCATTTTTATGTAATTAATTAAAAATATTGTTAAGATGCAGAAAATGTCAAAAGCACACTTTTTCATATATAATCAGTTCCATACTGAGACTGTTAACATGCTTAAGAATTTTAAAAATCTTAGGAGAAACCACCATATACAAAAACAGGCATAACTTCATCAAACCTGAACCGATCGAACTTATTTTCGAAATGGACTTGTATATTGGTCCTATGAATCAGTCCTACAATTTTCAAAGCAAAATATGACACGGTTTTCATGTTATCTGTATAATGGTTGATAAAATATGCTGAAAAACGAAAAAACGGCACAACTTTTGTAAAAATAACCCGATCAAGCTGATTTCCAAACTCGACCTGTATTTTAGCTAAGATCTAATAAACTGTTTATTAGATCTTAGATTTTAGTAAGGGTTTCAAGACAACAAACCTATCGGTTCTTCTTGAAATGTGTTATCAGGGTTGCATATATGCTGAAAAAATCGAAAAAAACATAGCTTTTGAAAAAAAAATGGCTCGATCATGCTAATTTTCGTACTCGACCTGTATTTTATGAATAGTCATCAGTTCAGTTCTGTGGTTTTCACTTATCGTTGTACTACTGAAAGTGACGGCTATATGTACAGCCAAAGATCTCTGTCTGTACATAAAAAGTAATGTTTAAGTTAAGAGTCGGCTGGAAAACGTAACGGCTTTAAACCTTAGAGATATATACCTTTTTGCTTTCACTTCTAATAATGCTTTCAAAATTATCGTGTGTGAAACCGATTTTCAAATCTAGACTAAAACAGCACACTTAAAATCAAATCAATATGTTCGTGTTCACGTTTGTGTGCAGTCTGGAATGCAGTTTTGTAATTTATTACATTACCTACCTATAGCATAAAACGCTGTTTTTGGCAATCTGCCTTTGATTCCAGCCTGAGTGGTGTAGACAAATCCCATGAATGCCAGGAGGAAGGACATGACATGGAACAACTGAAAAATACAATAATATCAGAAAAAAAATAAGTAAGTAAAACGTGATTAATCACAGACAAAACTGCAACTTTCATTCAACATGCTGCCTTGCACTGCCTTAAAAATATTTTTAAAAAAATCAGTTTCTCTATGAGAACCAAAAAGTCCACACAGAAAATATGTCGGTCTCCCTGGTAAACTAGCTGAATAACATTAACGTGTTATTTTTACCTCAAACCCACGGCATCAAGTGGAATAACGTTAACATGACTTTGTTACAGACAGTAGATATGAGCCCTTTGCAATTAATTTTAAATTGATATATAATATTTATACCATCGACTATATATTGATTTTGGAAAAATAAAGAAATAATGAGGAAAATTATGACCTATAATTGATTAAGTTGACCAGACGTTAATAAGATTTTTTTCTGAAAGTAAAAATGCAATGTACAATTTGTCTTTGAGTCTAATACTTACTAAGATCGCAATGGTATTATTCTGTGTTGATAAATCCGTTCTTTCCACGACAGCATAACAAATAACATCAGTGATAACTGTTCCAAACAAATATACACAAAATAGCCAAGACAGATAAATATATACTTCTTTCTTTGTAGTCCACTGTATTCTATGCTTGATATCATGCCATCGGATTGCCATATGTTGCCCATATTAGTTCACGCTTGAGCACTGCATTGAATATATTTCTTGAAACCTTTGCGAGCAAATCTTCATAACACGATGCGTTGTCAGTCGTTAGGAAATGTGACGTCTTTTCCATAAACGCACTACAGAAAACGTGAGCGCGCAACGAACGTTATGTGACGTAAAAGATGACGTCCTGATTAAGATTTCTTCTCTGTCTCATTCCCCTGTCTTTAGGTCTACATGTTTATGCATGCGGATAGGCCTATCTCCAATTTACAATAAGGCTAAAAAGACAACAAATCACATTTTTTATTGAGAAAATGAAGGATATTTTGCCCAAAAAAGTAATGAATTTGATACCAATTTTTACAAGTGTCTATGGAAAAACAGATTGAGATTCGAAGAGCAGACCCCAATCTGGGGCGCATTCAGGCTTATCGACGGGTCCAGTTTTTTTTTTAGATCGACAGGCCTCGGATGCGAAGCCGACCCTTGCCCCCTTGGTGTGGTGTTCGGTGTTTCTAGCACTGGTTATCCTAGAATTAACTCATTTGAAATATATATATATTTATCTTCCTGGCAGAGCTTTAGATTTTAATAGCGGGATTAGGCCTAGGCCCTACTGAGTAGCCTTAGATAAGTAGGCCCTAGCCTAAGCCTATATTTTTGTGACGGCTAAAAAGTTTTCTTGGAACATTGATGATCCTATATCATTCCTGGGTGAAAAATGAAAATATGGTAAGAACGGTTTAGGCCTACTCAGTAGATTAACATGCGATGTGTGATCTATCATAAAGTCAGTTCAGTTAGGCCTACAAGACACAAAAAACTTGATGTTTTATAGGCCTACGATATCGCAAAAGGCCTATTTAGGCCTATTCATTTGCGGTAGATCTATGAAATTTAAAAATTTCTTCTTTTTATGAAAAGATTATCCCATCATAATTCTTGTTTTGGTAGTTTTTTTAGCTTGTAATTATCGTCTGTAATGGTCCAGGAGGAATGGTTAAAGTTATGTTACAGTCAGAAGGCCCTAAATATTTTCTTCGTAGGATAAGGACAAAATTTAGCCTAAGTCTGGATAAAAAAAACATGAACTTTTTCGTCGAGATAACCAACTTTTTCCACGCAAGAAAATCAATAATTTTTTGACACAAGGTCAGTTAACTAAATATATTCTACAAAACCAAAAGAATTGATCGGCTAGAGGATTAGGGGCTGAACTTAAAGTAACAAATCCACAACATTCAAGCGTACACATGGTTAGCTTTTCTATACTTTGCTTTGAACAAGATTTTAAGAAGAAAAACTACATTTGTGAAAATGTACTTGTTCTCTATCAAAGGAAGATAAAGGAGCGATTCCGGTAAAGGGGTCTATCCTGAAACTACGACGGCTGAAAGTGACACGTCGCATCATAGAAGTAGAAAAAGTAGGCCTCTACTTCTTTGCTAGCACCTCTCCTCCTGGGCCGATAAGCGTGTTAGGATCAAGAAAGGGCACGGTCTCTCTACCTTATCTTTTTCTTTCGTGTGCGTGCGTTTGAGCGTGCGTTTGTGTGTGTGTGAGGGGGGGGGGGATCATATCGAAAAACCAATATGCATATAGTCTGATATTGTGATAAAAACCGTTATCTTCGATATGAGTGAACGCGATCAGTTTAGGCTACGGTAAAACAAATGCTTTCAGTATCAAGAACTTAAAAAAAAAAACCTTTAAAAAAATAAGAACAAATAGAAAAGCTTTAATGCCATTTTAAATAAGTTTAAAGGGATAATAACTCTTTGTATGAGATCTATATTTCACAATAAAAACATTGTGAATAACTCATAGAAATATAATATATTCTGTTTTACCACAAAAACTGCAGTTATAGCTATTATTCTGATTTTTGAGCTTGTCTTTAGACCACGTGACCCCCATTGATGGCAGTACTCTGTTAAAATCTCTTAAGAGATTTTAACAAAAAACCAAACTTTTTAGAAAAAAACCAGAGACTAACTTTGAATGTAAAAATGGATTCATTAACCATTGGTAAGTATGGGAAAATTGTTGTGTACTCCAGGAAAATTCATTTTTTGGCCGAAACGAAGAGTTATTATCCCTTTAATGTTATCACTCATCTTATTTATCTTTTCTGTTTAGTATAGATGTCGCCTTACTGTTACACAACTGGATAAGCACAAAGAATAAGTAGATTTGTTAAAGCTTTGAAACTTATCCCAGCAGGATACATATTTTTTGTCCAAAAAGTGTTCTATTAATGTAATAAATGTTTGGTCGTATGTTGTATCTTGTAACACTGTATTGTGTAACTTCCAAGAATAATTGTCTTCAACTCAAGTTTGAGACTGTTTAAATCAGGGAAAGACCCAACAAAATACAATTTCATCAAAATATTATTTTGTCCGTTTTGGGTGTAAGCACATATCACTACACCTCAAATAAGCACTAACAAGACATTTAATCGATCCACTGAACCAAAACAGCAGTATTTTAGTGTTAACATCTTTATAATAAGCAGTTATACTATATTCATCTAATTCATGATATTTTTACTTTCACATCATGCACCTGGTTCCGTTGACAGGGAGTGTCGATGCATGAAATAATATGTCTACTGCAACTGTACAAATCACGATCTTCATATTTGGCATACTGAATTATACACACAATTTTCAACATAAATGCTTCACCCACAATATCAAGCTGGCAACTGGCATTGGAATGTTTGTTAGATAACACAGATATAACAAAATAAAATACACATGGGCTGTTATGCTGCACAGGTTATTGCCACTGAAATCACACATTTATTTTGAAAATCATATAATATCAAATAATACCTAGTTTTCAAAGGTTCACTGGAAGTTGCTACATAAATGCTGATTAAATATAGAGTGACAAATAAACAGTTGAAATTATATTCGAGTTTCTCGAGGTCCAAAGAGGTTTTGGCTGCCTCCTGGATTTGTACCACCAGTAATATCATGACATTCCATTATACAAACCACAGATATGGTTTTGTTTGCCTTTGAATTCAATAATAAAAAGAATACAGTACCCTTGTGTACAACAATGTAGCCCATATAAGAAAGTTTTATGGCTCTCCCTGATATTTATTCTAGTCTTAATGCCAGTCAGTTGCCAGCATCATGAACAAGGTCTAGGTAATTCCAAGGTGACCAATAGCTTTGACAAGTCAGAGGAAACCTCATGTCTGGTAAAACAAGTGGTAAGATTAATCAACGAAATGGAAAATTTTCCCATACTTTGTTTTACATAACATATTTCAGTAATCCATCAAACTCTACCTTCCATAACAATACTGTTAATCTCAAATTAAAGGTACTTCCACATATGTATCCAGTTAATTAATGCAAGAAGTTCTAATGCTAGCTAATGAAAAAAATCGGGTAATGAGATGGGTCAAATTCATACCGTCACACACTTTGTAAACAGTGATTAGAAAATGACCCTTCAAACACATTAAATCAGTTCAAAAGGTAAATCTTTATCATGACCTTCCTGCTCTGAATTACTACCAATTTAAAAGCAAATGTAATAAGTATTTCTTTTCTTTTTGAATTCAAATGGGGACTTAATAAATGCAATTTCTTTCTTGGTCCCAGTTAAAAGCTTAAAATGCATTCCTGACATGTTCATAAAACAATTACCCTGAACCTAGAAAAAAATGTATCATTACAAGTCACAGTCTTGATAAAAAAAAGAAAAGCCAGTTAAAGCTGGCAAATGTACAGACAACCTATATCAGTAACAGTAAAAACAAAAAGAAAACAATAATGTAACAACTATAGATGGGATAATTACATCTGCATTAAAGCCCTGCATATGAAACAAAAAAGTTTTAAGGAATTTTGTCCAGAGATTTTCCTGACAAATCATACTTTCCTCAAACCATTGCTCAACCCACACCTGCACTTGGATTTGATGTCTTACACCATTTCTACATAAATTATTTGTGTTTAAAAGACTGGCCATGTCTTTCTGTACATTTCAGAAATATTGACATTTGGTACTATTATTATTATTATTATATTTTTTTTTTTGGGGGGGGGGGTTATTGTTTTTGAGGTCTGGATTGGTAAAGATAAGTAGCTTAGTATGACAGACAAAAAATGAATTATGGACATTTTTAAATGCAGATAGTTTACCTTTAAAGAAAAAGAGTTATCTATATTTTACCTTTGGCAAAAAAGTACTTATCCACAGTATCTTGACCTACTTTATTAAAAATTTTAAAAATTTATTTAAAAGAAACATAACAAATGGCTGGATTATGTCTATTTTTTGAACCAGAACTGATTTTAAAATAATAAGTAATCACTATGAATCTGAGGCCAAAATGGCAATGTTACATCCAGGCCTGTAGCCAGGGGGTTTAGGGGGTTCGAAAGAACCACCCTTTTTGTCGGGAAAAGGTCCATTCTGGGTTAAATTTCATCTTGGTACGCAAAGATTTCATTGTAAGAGGTCCACTTTTTCGGAAAAAGAAACCCCCTTTTGAAATTGCCTGACTATATCCCAGTTACTGCAGCAACAAGAAATATGTCTGGCTTAGACACTCTGGTCCGATGACACAGACAGTCACGGGCAAAGGCAACGTGTACAGATTTCTCTGTCTGTACATTAAAAGATGAGACAGAAGGATACATCACAGACCTATAGGCTCTAATACCTGTTTAAGCCATAAATCTAGCCAGGCCTGGTAGGACTTGGGCTTGAATTGGCCCATACTTTACTTTTTCACCATCAATGGCTATAACACCACCTGGTGTGATAGGTTCTAAACGGAAAGCTTTTACTTTTATAATTTCAATGTCTGGTGAGTTGACATGACTTCCATTTTCCATGGATAAAAAGAGTTTTAACAGACTACTTCTGGATATTCCTGCTTTAGCAAACATTAAGTGTATGATACCATCATTAAAAGTAGCTTCTGGTGCAATGATAATATCTGGTCCAAGATGGCTTTCATATGCTGCCACCACTGTGACAAAGTTGTCTTCTATGGTCACCCAGCTTGCGGGGACTGGGTCAGAGAGAGGAGGAAGCAAGGCAGTCTCCACAGGTCGAGGAGTAGCAGCATCTCCTCTTGATGGACTATCACAGGTTAGCTGAGTGCTGTCTGCAGCTGGTGTGCTGGAATTGGCAATGACAGTTTCTAAATCTCCACCACCTTCTTCAGGAAAGACTGGAGTTAAGGGCTCATCAGCTGGTCCTCCATGCTGTAACCTGCTCCGCAACACTTCTTCTGTAGCACTATCTCCTAAACCATCTGGACAACTTAGAGACCTTGATTTGGGCTGACTTGTGACAACATCAGCAGTATTTGCATTGACTGAAGGCTCCCATGTGGAACAACTGGTGGACCTAGATGTGTGACACCTGTATGGTTCACACGGTAAAAATGAAAGACGACCATGGTAAGTCCTCAAACCTGGAAAATGACAAAAATAAAAAGAAAGATTAAAATAATATATCTAAATAAATTAATCAAACATATTTCACATGCTGCCATATTTTTTAACTCAATCTTAACCAAAATTCTAATTCATATCCAAAGTATCACAAAATACCATGCATACTGATCTTATTAAAAACTCTGGTAAAACCTGTACAAAAAAGAGAAAATCACAACCATTTCCTTACCTACAATTCTGACTAATGCCCCTACTGTAAACCTAGCATTCCCCAGACTCCTGTACTTCTCACTCTCTATGTCCACATCTGAAATGATCCCCCAGGTGATAGACAGGAAGGAATAATGACGGCCCTCACAGGTATCAACTGCCACAAGGTCTAGAGCCTTGATTTTATGCTTGGCCAGGACAAACAAAGAGTGGGTGAGGATGTTGTCTTTGTAAGGTTCCCTAAGAGACAAAAAAGGCACAGTTTATGTTGGAGTAAAACACACCATAAAGAAAGTTAAGAGTTTATGTAATGAAGGTGTCCAGAACAAATTGGTTACAATGTTACCTCTTTAAAGCTCACCAGTAGCTGTTTATATTCATCAAGCAAAGTGTCATCAATGATATCTCCATAAATTTATCTCTATGTGGTAATTTTCCAACAGATCTATACAATGCTACCCATTAATCTTATGTTCTCAAAAGCAAGCAATCTACACCAACTTCAAACTGTTGGGGAAAAAAAACCCTGCATAACATCAATACTTAGTGCCTTGGAACACCGCACCAGACAATCTAGATACTCAGATCAGACTAACCCATTATGGCTGTTGATGGCACAACAGAGAGCATTCCCTGACCCTCCAGGCACCACTCCCAGTGGAAGGTGGTGGATAGCATGCTCCCAGTCAGGGCGGCTCATTAAACCATTGATTACCTGGAGTACAGGAAATACAGCATTATCTTACTTCTGGGAAATAACATGCAAACAAAATTAGCCAAGTTCACCAGCATCCGGTTGTCTGAACGCTGTGATATGGAAAGAAATTCAATTCTCAACCACTTGTTATTCTGGTCACATAACAGGAAGTTTTTTCACAGACATTTAAATTAACTGAATGTAATACATAAAAAAATGAAAGATTTGAAAAGCAGAATTAATTTTTTTTAGCTCAATATTGATGTATATATTTTGATTCTTAATGTATCCATTAATTTATAAGTTAAGATATATATGAAACACCATGTTATTATTTCTTTACCTCAAATATCAAACCATCCCCTGAGACGATAATAACTCCATACCACTCACTTATGTCTATGGTTTTAACTACATCTTTTGCATGGCCAGCTCTCTCTGAAAGTAAACAATTGAGATTATACAAAAAATGTGCCCCTAATTCTGCAATTTAAAAAGTTTATTAATAACACAATAATAATAATAATAACAACAAATCGAATAGGTCTGTTTTAGCTGAATGCTGAGGTGCTCAATCACTTACTTCACTGCCCAAGTTGACACAGTATTTGAATACCAACTCCCTGGCTAAAGTACTTTTTGCTGGTAATCAAAACTGAAAACTTCCTGGCCTAAAGATCAAGTCACTTTTTGTGTGACATACCCCAGACTAGTAAGCAACAGGAGTCCAAGAGAACTTGAGTCAAATATATAAGATCATATAATGCATTAACTTGGGCAAGAAGATTTTAAGCTGCCCATGACTCTTGAAAGCTACTCGCTCAAATAGTCAATTGAAAAATGTAACACTGTTGGTTTTTTTTTAGCAGAGGTCAAATGATAAATTAAAATGTAAATAGTGCTTTTACATCCTCTTTTGTAAGTCATGCATGGCTTTTGCCTTAGCTTAACACAACTCTTGATTAATTTACATGTATTCTGAAGACAGAACTATGCATAAATTATAGCAGATGTATACCCAGTGTAAAGGAATGAAAAATAAATTAAAAATTAATTAAGTATCTCTTCACCTAAGTATCAGCTAAATTATGTTATCATATCACAGAGGTATCACTAAACAGTGAGATGCTCAGCAGAAGTATATTATTGTCCCGTCAAAACATGGAAAAAAGTGGACGCCAATCTGCTCAGGCAAGCTTACAAAAATATTCAATAAAGGAAGATAACACTAGAAATGAAACTGACTCTTAAAATAGACTGTACATTTTGAAACGGATGTGACAACATTTTGACCTTATCACAAAGCCTTCTTCAGGTGACTTAATGTCTCGTCATCAGCAGTGTCACATAGTGACAATTTGCACAGGATTTGATTACATGATATGGCACCTGGTAGTGATTACAAAACAGACAGTCCTCATTTTGTAGACTCCTTTAATTCCAATTTAAATTGACTAATTACAACTGACAACTACCCATATCTTATTTGCTTCCCTCTCCTGTAGTAAAAGTTATTTTGAATAGGGTAAGGACCATTCTTCCTTTTAATTAGATTTTTAGCTCCCATCAATCCCAGGAGTAAAGGTAATGGGCTAAGCTTACATATAAATTGTATTTTGTGGTAACTAAATCACTTATATGACTCTCTAACACATACTGTGGTACATTCTTATTCTGCATGTGTCCCCCAGAACATTGGGTTTGTTGAAAATAGGGATTACTAAACATGCAAAAGCATCAAAGCAGCTCAAATAATACACTAGCATAATTCCAATAAACAAACAATAGTTTTTTCATCTTTAGTGCTTTGGTCTGGCCTAGATTAAATGTTTAACAATGACTATTAGCTGCAGAGTGCTGAACTGGAATACCTTTACCATTAATCTTAAGTCTTTATATGAATCAGCTGTTTAATGGGCCTCATTGTAACATGAAAGCCATACTGATTCTTTTTTTTATGATTTTTTCTCACTGCATTATTTGTTAAATGATTTACCAGCATTACCATACCCCCATTACATTTATTCCTTTTCAATTATTTATTTGCATTACTATTTAAGAAAAGAAAACAAACCAGCATCTGTATGTACTTGATATATGTAATATTTCACAAAATAATAAGCTGATAAAGGTATACATTACAAACAATGCATTACCTGTTATAATAAGGTGGAAATTCAAGTCTAACTCAGCCAAGGTGGGCACTACTCTCTTCTGATAGATGTCTAGTGCTTTTCCAGGGCCACTGAAAGGGTTAACAAACACCAAAACCTTCCTGGCCCTGGGAGTGATGTCAACATCCATGGCTAGAAGGAAAAATAAAAACATCACCATTAAGAAAACCTGGAGGAAATAATATGTAATACTCACTTCAATTATACAAGAAATACCATTACCAAGAACCCAATCCACCAATTAAAAAAAGTCAGCTGATGCTTAGTCAGCAAATGTTCTAAAACAACTAAATATCCTATTTTATTGAGCTTGACACAGAAAAGCTGACATAAATATATTGCAGCAGCAAAGAGGATAAACAACTGCATTGATTGTTTCAGTTTACATCCTAAAAATAATTTTAGGTGTCCTAAATAATGCACACGTTCTGGAAATGGGTGCCAATGCATCATCCTTGGTTTTGTTAGTGCTACTGAATAAATAAACATAATTCCTTCACATATGACACCCATGTATCAGTATTACTGTTATAAAGTCTACATTACTTCACAGTGATGATGCATGGTGTGATATGCAGTGCCCGAGGACAATGCACTGATAACAGGCATTCTGTACTGACCAGGGGTAAAATCTGGGCATCTGATCACATGATCTACTACCCTACATATCTGCAACTGTATGTTAACCCCTAAACCTTATGATTTATTCATTTAGTAATTTGTACAACGGATATGCAACTGTAGCTAAATCTACGTTTCCACTTTTTTTTCTAGGAAGGCATTTACATGGACTCTTTTGATTTCAAGGTTGGTTTTCTGAACTTTGAACGCATGATACAAGTACTGCCCCACATATGAAAAAAGGATAGAGTCCAAAAAATAATCAATAACATTTGTGCTGTATGATGCACCGGTTTACATTATATCAAACCAAGTCACATAATCACATCAGTGTGTGGAAAAAATAAGGCAAGGGAGTCTGGCTTTTTTACTTTATGGGATTCCAGTTAAAAAAATTGAGAACACTAAATTAAGTAAATGAAACAGATCTAAGATTTGCTGACCAAGAATGCTATTAGATTATTTTTGAACAGTAAGAATAATTTATTAAAAATATTGGAGTACGTAAAGACAAAAAACATATATATAACACAACACAGTTTTTCACACTCATACCTCTTTTTAAACATGTAAGAATAGCAACCCTCCACTCCTCTGCAGCTTCTAAATTTTCTTGATAAGAGTTATGTACATCCACAACAAATGCTATGTCATGCCTCTTTCTTACAAATGCTCCTCCAAATGTTTTTCTCTTGGTCGGGTATGAGTACAAACAAAAATATGCATCTGTGGAGTTTCTCTCACCTCTGCCCCTCATGCAGTGACAACCTATTACATCATCAAAAGAAAAAGAAAGCGACTTCTTCTGTGCGTCCCCCTTTTTGACTGGAATGCATCGAAGTTCATTTGTGAATAAATACACTTTGTAAGTTGTGTTTTTAGGATGTATTCGAAATTGACCTTCGCGTAAAGGACTTTCAGTCAACGCCCCACCATTGCTTGTATTGCTTGCGGCATTCATGGTCAATATTAAGTTCCACTGTACGGCCCCACACCTTGATACACCGTCACCGGTAACTATCTGCCCTCTCCTGAACTTCTCCGCTCGTTTCAGATCACCCAAATTCTTAGGATCTATGCCAAAGAAATCAGCATCATGGCTTAATGTGCATAACAAACTCTAATACATTCACAACACATACTAACACGCATTAGTCAAATGATATTGACGACCAACAACATTGTAACACTCACACATTCATGTGATTATTATCTAGTTTTGCCAGAGGATGTAGATGGCGCTTTATATCCCACAATCCACCACCCATGAAACTTCCTTTTTCCAACACCATCCAACATGGTGGGTGATAAGTACACTTAACATAAAAAAGAATCGATTTATATCTACCTCATCACTTTGAGTTCACTTTTATTTTGAATGTGTTTAGATTAAGTGATAATGATATTTTGTATTTTAATACATAGGGTGTTGACATAAACCACAAGTATGACAGAAAGGTGCATAGAAAGGAGCCGAAGAGTCAAGATATTTACCTTCGGCTCTTGGTGAAGGTAAGTCTTTGGTGTCCTCACGAACTGTCAGGTTTGAACGTTAAAGAAATCATGCACGTTTTGAACATAAATTTGTGTATAACACCTTTCAGGTCCTTTCCGTCCCTTAAATTTTATGGGATGTTTAAGAAGAGCTGCAAATGAAATGGTGTCTACGTTGCAGATGTGTTGGTGTTTTGGATCAACGTCACTTCATATGAATCAAGTGCAGTTCATTCTTGTAACAGTTCAGCCACTTTACGCTAGGATACTTTTTAAACTTGTACATTCAGCTCTCCCTTCGTTACTGTTTGCATAACGACTGTATTATACATACTTATTTCTGTTGTCTGCAAGTATGAGAGATTCTTAATTGACCAGTTCCTAAATGTTCGTTGTAGAAAAGTTTTCTTAACATTCAGTTAGCTATTGCAGAGCTTCAAATGATTATATAAAAAAGTATACTTCAAACAGTGAACTCTTTTTGCCCCCCCCCCTCCAAAAATATAGTTCATTTAACCTGTCATTGGAATTTCGTAAAATATATATCTACTTTGTGAATGGTTGTTATTTTACTAATTATAAATTGAGGAACATTTTCAATAACTATTCTTCTTTTCTGTTTTAGCTCTATAGATTTCTAGCGCGCAGAACCAATGCCAAGTTTAATAAGGTGGTGTTGAAGCGCCTTTTTATGAGCAAGATTAACCGCCCACCTCTGTCTATTGCACGTCTGGTAAGTTTTCATGCAAATTTAAATTATTAACTCTGTAGTGCTTTAAGGACATTCTTAATATTTACTCATACCATTGCCTAAGATCTGAGTATTCCTGCAATTATGCTTGTAACTGTCACAAAGTGCCAATATTATTGAATTAAAAATAATGTTTTTTAAAGTTGCTTCTTTATTGCTCGTCTCTCTTTTTTAAAGGTGCGTTTGATGAAGAAGCCAGGCCGTGATAACAAGATGGCTGTGTGTGTAGGAACCATCACTGATGACCTGCGCCTTCTGGAAGTACCTAAACTCAGGGTAACTATACTGCTGTTTATCTGCTGTCAAATAAATATTTTGTCACATTGTCAATTGATAAGGATAATGGATAATGTCATGTGAAACAAGATGTATTATTTACCATCAAATAAGATCATTTAAAATGAATTTTTAATTAATTTTGTAAAAGACCAATTTTACTTAGAGAAGTGATACCTTTGGGACAAAAGCATCATCTAGCAGTGCTTGTGCCATAATTATCTATCATTTTATATTCATTTATGTTTCTTTTACCTAAGGTGTGTGCCCTGCATGTGACTTCTGGTGCTCGTGCACGGATCCTGAAGTCTGGTGGTGAGATCATCACATTTGATCAGTTGGCCCTGAAAGCACCAAAAGGACAAAACACTGTACTGGTTCAAGGTGAGACTTGATTGTGTCTTCCTGGACTGTGCATTCGGTACATAAAAAAACATTTTTATCATGATCTTACTATTTCCCCTGTTACTGAATTATGAATTATGATTTATTATTGAGAAATTTCAATATTTCTTCTTATTATTATATTTAATAATGTTTTCTTAAATGTTGTTATTTTATTGTGTGAAGAATGAAAAGAATGATTTATTTTTTTCTTCCAAGGTCCACGCAAGGCACGGGAAGCCTGCAAACACTTTGGTCCAGCAACTGGTGTGCCACACAGTCATACCAAGTGAGTTTTCACACCTAACAAGTTACCTTAACACTAACATAATATGTCACACCTTATACACTCTTTACCCCATCACTAATACATTGTGTCACACTGCAGTAACACCAACAATGAACTTGGTCTATCAAGTCATCACTGGCAGCATTCAGAACAGTCCGAACTAGACCGTGGGTCAAAGATGGCCGACCCACTGGAATGCTTCCCCACATGGAATCTGTTCAGTGTCTGTTGGAGGATTAGATGGCAAGCTTTTTAGTGGGTTGCCATATTACTTGACCTGTGGACTGGTTGGTCCACTGTTCCGAATGGGGCTATATATATATATATATATATATATATATATATATATATCACGTGCATCCTAACTCCACACATCCTATTTTGTTATATATATACAATTTCAAAATAAATTGTCAAATGGAACTGCCGAAAATGGTCTGAAATATTTGTTTACCCATCATTGATTGGATACCCTGAAAATGGATAAACTAGTGAAGTAGTTAAACACTTCACTGCCAGTAGTGACTGTGAACATCAACTGGCAGAGCTCTGCCAAGCACCACATTTTTACTTCATTTAACACTAGATACACCGTACATCTGTTACACTTTATTTTATTTCACACCCAAATTGGCAATACACAAAGATCTGTGTTGAGTGGTGGCCACCAATGTTGTGTTAATTTTTTTTGTGAAGAAATGGACATTTTCATATTATGTGCAGATCAAACATATATTTTGTCTTACTGCTGTCCAATTTCATAAATGTACATTAACCTTGGAGTACTTTGTGGGGACTTGGTATTTAAAAAGATTAACCAATGTCATATTTCCTTTTCAGGCCATTTGTTCGTTCCAAGGGACGCAAATTTGAGAGGGCTCGTGGTCGCCGTAAGAGCAGAGGCTACAAGGCATAAAGCTGTTGTAATAAATGTAAAAATATATGGCAAGAGACTGAAATGTGGAAGAAAAGACTCCTTTCTTAAAAGAAGACAAAAATTCAGCACTGTAAGAGTAAACAATAAACATATGGAAGAAAGTTCATTTTCGTTTTCTTTTCCTTGTTATGCAAGTTTTTTATTATTAAAAGCCACATGCTTGTTTGTTAGTTCAATATAAATCTTGCATGTAATTCTGAATTCCCAAGTTGACCACATTGATTTGACAAACATACTTTGTAGTATATTTTTGAGAATTTCAGACATGATTTTTAGTTGTTAGAAAAAGTTTGGAAGTAATGACCCAGGGTTTGTCTGATTTCAGAACTTGGGGGGGGGATCCTTGTCACCATTTTTCAGATAATCGGTGGGTGCTGGGCAATATTGTTGAGAGTAAAACAGATATCTAAAAAAAGGGCTGTTCTTTAGAAAGGTGGATAGTTGACCGTTGGAGGATTTGTTAGAAATTTTGAGAACCCAATTTTGGGACCAATTGAAGATGGCTCAACCTTTTTATCTGAAAAATGTTGGCGCAAGTTATGAATGTGGGTCTTTCAATGTCAAACTTCATAATTCTGTATCCTGGTTAAAACTTTGGTAAAGTAGAAGTATTTAAATGCTAACTAATCAGGAAAACTGGACAAAATTTTATAAAATTTATTTATATTAAAAGAATACAAAAATGATCTACATTCTATGGAACGGAGCTTGCACCATATGTACATATTTAGAATTTACCATGGATTATACACTGAGGCAAATGTCCTTTTCAAGTAGAACATTCTTGACTACCTTTTTAAAAAGAAAATGCAATTTTAAAGTCTCTTCTATTTTTGAATTTCCACTAGCACTCTTGCCCTCAACAAGCAACTACGAAATAATTGGTGAGCAATGTCACTACATTGAAGGGACCCATATTTGTATCCAATCAACGGTGAAAATTTGCTGCTTGCAACACCAGGCTATTTTATTTATATCAAAAATATTGACTTCCTGTACATATTCACAGTGTGTGATAAACAGTTTTTAAAAAGTGCAGAGATCCAACATATTGGTCTGCCCTATGCATAGGTTGGTCTAGTGGACCAGACAATCAATTGATCCCATCATCAATTGATTGTCTGGTCCAATATCAATTGATCCCATCATCAATAACCATTTGATATGGTGTTTTGTAGAGATATTTAACCAGCATCACTGCTGATTCAAGAGAATTTCCTCACAATGGAAAAGTTTAAGTAGTCTGTAACAGCTCAGTGACTAAGCAATCTGGCAAAAATCAGAGAGTATCCCTGCAAACAAAATGCCTGCTTTCAGTCCCGGCGCTGAATTACAACTGTCTGTAGTACAGGAGTGGATGCAGGCTCTGTAGGTTCTCTCATGGTCTGGGAATGTGATGTACTGACATTGGGTGCCCATGTCTCGTGATGAACAGAATCTGGTGGTGCCCACAACACCTGAAACATAACATGGACATTTAAACCTCTAGTCTAGTATTATGAATAAATGAATTAAAAAAAATTCTTTGACTGGTCCAGTTTTAAATGGCAAAGTCGCTAAAACTTGCATACAAAAGGAAAGCGAAATTTAAATAACCTTTGCAAATGTGCTAAAAAGAAATTGACTTTAGAACTGGATTTCAAAAATGTAATGAAAAATGAGAAGGTGATTGGTTTTATACTTAAGCTTCATACTCAAAGAAATGCAGATACCTTTCGTTGCAATTACTTAACATAAAAGTGAAATGTAGCAAATTTCTAAGGACTAATTTTTTGTTTTCCATATTTTTGAGGGCTGTTGTGGAATCATGGACACTTTTCTCCAACCAAGACCTCACCTGCCCACACTCCTGTAGTTTTGACACAGTATTTAGCATCTGCCACTGTACATTCTGTAGCTACCAATGTCCCACTGGGGTTTTCATAATCAAAGTTTTCTGTGCATTCAGGATCGCTGCCAGAGTCACACTGATAACAGTTTAAAGCAGCACCTTGAATGAAAAAATAACAGCACATATTAACACATACCCAGAGATGTTATGTGACTGTGGCAATATATATATATATATATATATATATATATATATATATATATATATATATATATATATATATACTTAATTGTTTTTAGGGGTGTTTTTGGAGAAATGGGAGTATTTTCTGTAGGTTTGCATGTCAAATAATACATTGTCAGGTACCCTCTCATGACAAATGCCTAAAACACCTCTCAATGATACTCAAGGTGTTCTGGCATTTTATTGCTCAGGTGACTCAGTTGTATTATCCCATACTTAATAAGAGGATTTAGTTTGTGATCACTAATGTGTGTTATCACAATAATATAATTATTACAAATTTTTAGACACGATATAATCAACACAGATGTGATGGAGGAAATGAATACTTTGTGTAGGGTCTGCTAAACACGTACCTTGCTACAGAGACTGTACGTATTTATTAATAGATTTAACAGAAAAATATGAGACGTTAATTCACAGACTGGTGCATGTACATGTACCTATTAAAACAACTACCACAACACATTTATTGGTAGGTGCATCCTTTTCATATGAAATCCACACACATATTTAACATTCTTTTACAATTTATGACTCATATTGCCGCCATCTTAGAAAAATAAAGTTTGCTAATTCCAAAACTTACCTCTTCTGACGAGAAGTCCGAGAATAATCGTTGAAATAAAAATGGCACTGGAATATTGATTCTTCATTTTAAACATGGAAGTAACATTAATTGTTAGCTTTGGGTCTAATTTGCACAAATTCCAACCCTCTAATACCTCCGTACCACAGCCGTTTGAATTTTGAGGTCAGTTTCGCACACCTGAGTTGCACCTGTGTTTTCAAATGTGTCAATAGATGGCGCTTTACTAAGGAACGTCAGCATGTTAATGCCTACAATAGAAAGGACGGCTGTTATGATTGGTTAAATTCTGCAAAGGTATTTTTGTTTATTTTCTTTAAAAACTGCCAAAGAATGAAGAAATAAAAAAGACACCCAATTTCCAAACGCAGATTATTATGTTTGCACACTTAAATGTCATTTGGCGTTTGGAAAAATCTTATAATGCTTGTTAATGCCCTTTTATTTCTCACTCTCTGGAAATTTTTAAGCCAATCAGATTGAGTATTCATAATTTCCATGGCTTCCGGTCAGGGGAATCAAGATGGAAGGGAACAAGGATGAGAGTGTAAAATGTATATTGATAGCTAGGAAATACATAAAGACAGGAGAAAAAGAAAAAGCTGTTAAGTTCCTTAACAAAGCTGAAAGGCTTTATCCATCAGAGGAAGCCAAAGGTACGTATTTTGATGATTGCTGTTAAGATAGAGCACCCCATCTTTTTTAACCGGTGGAGCGATGATCATCATTACATTTACAATACATTACTGTACGGTGTACTGCAGAATAGTTATTGACGTAACGTGACAAAGGTTGGACAGCTTCTCATACGCTATAGCCGGGTTGAGTTACACTCCGCCCAGTCCCGTGGTCTTTATAAGACTTCAACTTATTGCAACCATATGAGATTGATAAGCTCTAATACTATTAATATATGATTAGAATTCAGAACTTCAGAAGAAACAATATAATTTAATAAGACCATTTTTTTCATTTATAGCCTTGGTTTGGTGCTAACTTTATTGTAATAACTAAGTCTACAAAACATGGCATCTTTATAACAGAATAAATGTTTGTTTTAAACAAAACCAAGCTGAAGTATCATTTTTTAGTATTGACACCTTTGACTTTTATTTTCAGAACTTCTTGCTCAGCTTCATATGGCTAATGGTGATGCTCAAGCAAATGAAGAAGAGTCAGATTCTAGTTGTACACAAGATAAAACAGACAGTGGTGTAAAACATAGACATAGGCATAGGACTAATTCCTCAGGAAGGGAAAACAAAGAGAATGAGAAATTAAAAGATTCACATGGATATAAAAGAGATTACACAGCAGAACAGTTGGAAGCAGTAAAAAGGTGTGAATTGCAGTGCATTGGTTTTGAAATATATTTGCATTAATGTTGCTTAGCACATCAGGGGGCTTTTACATAGAAATTAGTCCAGTCCTTTTCAGTTCACCATTCAATGCAGGTACTCTGCTTGAGCTAAGTTTACAATAGCAGCAGGTATGGATTCTCTCTATTTTCAGCCTACTGACATCTTTACTATCTTTGTGTGTTTTATGTGACTGACAGATTGTATGTGCTGTCTATGATAGTTTATCATAACAGACTGCCAGCAAAGAGGGGGAATACTTTATAGACCAACCTAAATTTTAAGTGAGCATACCTTTAGAGAGTGATGGCCAAGTTGTCAGTCTTTATCTGTAGCAAATTTTCATTTTGAAGTAAATGGTGTATTATTTTCACACAAGTAAATATATTAGTTTCCAATTTTGTTTTACTTTTATGTAAGGAAAAATACTTTTCAGAACCTTACTTCGTACCATTGAAATATTAGAATTTGGCAAAGTGAGATAGCTTTTCATGAGAAAAATCTTATCTTTGTATTATGTTCATATTTTGGTTGGCATTTAGATCTTAAGTGGTTATGAGTAAAGCACATGTTAACAAATGTTACTAAAAGTTTGTGAATCACCACTTAGTACTTTGTTGATACAATATCTGACTTGTGGTTGCATGTTCTAAATACTTGGCTCAAAGTTTATTTTGCTCAGTTAACACACTTGATATGATGACTTTGAATCCAGAGAGTATGATTGATATTATTATTCCTCTGATCAGTATCTCTGGGTTACTGACCACAGACAGGTGAACAGTTTCATGACATGCATAAGCATCTAAGCATCTACATAACTAAATTGAGCCCATGTGTATAAGACCAGGTTCCTCCAGGAAAGAAGGGACAAAAGAAAGGAACAGCTTCTTCTAATAGAAATAGATTTTCAGATGTTCTGAAGACTTGTTGAAAGCAGTTTTATTTGGAATAGTGCCTGTGTTGTCTTAAAAATCTGATCATGTCCAACATGTAAGTCTTTGGGTATTTTAGGGCGTATTTATTCCCAGAGCTTTTAGATTGATCTATCCCTCTGGGAGTCTCACTAGATTACTGTCAGATAATCCGGCTTAAATGTCTGTCCTGCCTACTACAAGATGTAAGGGGGTAATTAACTTTCGTGCCCGCTCGGCTGACAGCTATTTAGCGTGAACCCCCAGGGAGTTAGGACGATCTAAAGTAGATCGATCTAATCTCTGGGAATGGGGTCTTAGAGGCAGTCTTTTTACTACATGTTTCTATAATGTTGAAGCTGATTTGATTAGTGTGTGCCAGTCTGCAAGCTAAAAGACTTCACGTACTTAATCGCTCAACTTGGTCAGTCTCAATAGCACTACATATTTGCACTGATACTGTGTTTGTAAGAGGCTTTTTGTGGTGGTACTTAAGAAGCTGTTTATGTTTTTGTTAGTATGCCTTTAAGGGTAGGTGGGACACAATTTTTGATTCACATGGTAACTCTCAATGATGGAAAAGTTTAACTTAATGCTTAGACTCTTTTAAAACATTTATTTGAAAAAAATGATAAAAGGACAGAAATAATTACATTGGTGGTATATGGAGATTGAGCCTGTAACTTGTATACAGGTAGTCTACTTTTGTATAGCTTTAAGATAAATTGTTGGTTGTAGTGGTTTATGTGTATGGTTGTCACAGAGTTATTAGCTTACATTTGGCTACATACTATGCTACTCTTGTAAGGTATTTATTGAGCAAAATGCCTAGATATTTTTAGTTAGAAGAAGAATAGAAATGGTTTAAGAAATTGATTTTTTTAAAACATTTTCATCTGCAGTACATGCTTGAAAAGGTCACAAGTGTGCAAAACTATACATATGTTTACTGTTTCATCTTTGTTTCCATTGACTGACTTTTGCATACACATACACACACATGCTCACGTGCACACACATGTGAACTATAATACAAAAGAGATTGAATTTTGTAAAAATTTATGCCTTAGATATAATAGACTACCAGTATGATTTATGCACGTCATGCAGTAGCTGCAGTGCAAATTAGATGTAATGGCTTCTCCCCAGTCCCCCTGTGGGCAGACACCTGTCTCATGCATGCTGCTTTTCAATGTACAGAGTATGAATACTTATCATACATACTGGGTATAAATACTCCATATATATGTAGAGTGTCATTATATTTAGACTTCACCTTTGTTTGAATATGCAACATACAGGGTGCTGGGTCTGCTTCCTTTTCCTGGTTTTGCCTGCTCTCAACTGATTTAGAAGACAGGCTTAATGATGGGAGAACTGTGTTTTGAGATGAAAGATTCCACCATAGCATGTTTCCTCTCCCTGTAATACATCCATTCTTACCAATTTAGTTTAACAGTTAGAGGGTTTGATGCCATTTTTTTTTAAATATTGTGAAAGGAATGATATTGTGGAATGGCACACAGTTTTTTTTATTCCTTTATCATGTTTGCAATGCTGGACAGCCAGGAGAGTGCTTGACATTGCTCAAATACAAGGATATATATATTTTTAGCCAAAGACGGCTCTCCTGTGGTGGTTATGTATAAGTACATGAATATATATATCAACTAAGATTAAACCGATACACCAGTATGAGTGTATGATTTACCTTATTTTTCCTAGGTTGGCAATATTTTCCAAGAGCAAACATATCTGTTTAATGCATTTCTTTTTGATTTATTGTAGGGTTAAGAAATGCAAGGACTATTATGAGATTCTTGGGGTCAGCAGGGAAGCAAATGAGGGAGAACTGAAAAAAGCTTATAGAAAACTAGCACTTCAGTTTCATCCAGACAAAAACCATGCACCAGGTGCTGGAGAAGCATTCAAAGGTATACTTTTCTTGTTTTTCTTTTATTCATTTTGAGAAATGCTTTCATCTGTATTCTAATAAGTAGGAGTATAATGAATTTACTACATCTTGGTTGTTGAGATGATCTTGAAGTTATTTTGTTAGCATAGTACCTTCTTTAAACAATTGTGATTTAAAAAAAATTTAATCAAAAGTCTAATTTGTACTTGACATTTCTCTTCAGCTGCCTTAAGCGACCCCAGATCATAAGCCCATGAAACCATTTCTTCTTACTTCTTTATAAAACTCAAAACAACATCTGTTAAGAATGCCCAAGCCAGGCACTTGTACTAACCTGTGCTCTTTTTGTTCCTTTCATAAATGGACTGAGAAGTTTGTTAACAATTTTTGCATTATCTTTTTCCTACCAGCAATAGGCAATGCCTACTCTGTGTTAAGTAATCCTGAAAAAAAGAGGCAATATGATCTGTTTGGCAACGAAGAAGAACATGACATTCGCCACCACAGACGGCGGCATTACTATGATGCATACAGTCGAGGTTTTGAAGGTTAGATAACATACTTTCCTGAGCATACATTTTGTCTGATATTTGTAACTTCCCATAAATTTGTATGTTGACCATCATCTTGGCTGTTTATGAATGATATGAAGATGTTTGGTTGGTATTGATGTTTTATAATCTTATGACAATTGGTATATTATATTTAGAAAAAGAAGTGACTGCCTCTCATAGCATATAAACTGATAAACATATCTTACTGATATGCATTCAGGTTGATGTCCCTCTGCTTTAAAATCACATTCTTTGTTGATATTTCAGCTGATATTTCTCCAGAAGACCTGTTTAACATGTTCTTTGGTGGAGGTTTCCCCTCGGGTGACGTGCATGTGAGAAGACAACATTTCCATGGACATAGTCAAAGGGCCTCTAGACAGAGTGGAGATGTATGTACCTGATCATTATCTCACTCATGTAAAAGATACTAAATTAAGCTGAATATATATAGTCTTAGTGACATCACCAGGAAATAAGATTACTTCACATGTGATTTTAAAATCTAAGGCCTGGAGAGGGATCATTTTTGATCCCCTTGCTATCTGGTTGACTGGTGATGTCAGTCGGACTTTATTACCAGTTTAGATCAGTGCACTGCACAGTGGGCCTGTAGTGAAATTAAAATGTATATATCTTCTGTTTGACCTTGGCAGCTCTAAATGCATGATGGTAAGCTAAGCATTGTAATTAGTTTTTTTTTGCATAACATATGGTGACAAATGATACTTGGTCCACGCAGTTTGAAATAGATGAAAAAAACTTCATTTACACATAATTGGGACAAATTTTATTGAAAGAACAAATTGCAAAAAATTAATAAATGAAATAAAAATATTAGCACAATTTTTCTTTTCTAAAGGTAAATTATTCACAAAAATAATGATGCCTTTTTTTTCAGGCAAATATTACTCTATTACTCCAATTGGCACCAATCTTATTGCTGGTATTCCTGTCCATGTTAAGTAGTTTCTTTGTAGGAGATCCCATATATACTTTACATAGAACTAGGTAAGTCAAAAAATTGAATGGTGTATATATCATTCTCTTATTTTAACATTTTATTTTTCCATTTCTTGCTTTTCTGAACTGGAAATAAATCTCTGGTTTGATTGTAAGTCCAACTTTTTTTATCTCTTTAGTTTGATACAGTTTGGATTGACTGTAGCAAACTAAAAGTGCATGTCCTGGAACATTTTTAGTTGCACAGAGTTATTGGGTTGTCTGATATTATAATTCCCAAGTTTATATCAGTTTATGTTTGGTTCACCGCTTTATTAAGGTGGATAAGTCTTGAGGCACTTTTCTGGTTAATTGAAACGATAAAGTCACAAGTAATTGCATATGAAATATAAAAGTGTGTGCTCTAGTGTACTTTATGCGTGAAGCACATGTTGAGGTTGCTAATGGTGTGCTTCACCTGCTCTTACCTGTAAACTGATACCTGGCCAGCTTGTGAATTAATTAACGGTGATTGGCTCACCTATGTACAGCCAGTAATGATATACCCCAATTTTTAATAACTTTACTCTCAGTTCTTACTGTATTTACCATACTGTATAATTGATATGTTCCAGATGAGTGTGAATGCTTTGAAATGTATGAATTGCTCTTACGTATTTCAGTAAATATACAGAAGAAAGAAAAACAGGAAACATAGGTGTACTCTACTATGTTAAGCCTGGGTTTAGCACAGAGTACGTTGGAAGTATAAAAAAGGTTGAGAAAAGTGTAGAAGAGGAATATATTGGTAATTTAAGGACAAACTGTTTTAAGGAGAGGAACTATAGTAAGTTTTTGATTATTTAGATTCTCTCTCTCTCTCTCTCTCTCTCTCTCTCCTTTGGTGTTATTGAGCTATTAATATTTAAAAAGGCACTATATTTTCACATGAATACATTGATGATTATAAATTCAGCTTCTTGTAATGCGTATAAATCAATTGCATGTTTCTCCTAATTGTTTTTAACTATTTTAACATGAGATTATTTGTGAAAACTTAATGGAATGCATACAGATACAGAAATATTGAGATAAATTAATGTTATTTTGAATTTTCAGAAGAGAACATGATGTGGAGAGCTAGAAATTTTGCTGATCGTGCTTTATGGGAGCGTGCTCAGGGTATGAGGACTCCTTCTTGTGACAAACTACAAGAGATTTATGCTTGAATAAGAAGCATAAATTATAGTATACTTGTTAGACCAGAACACATTTTCATGGAGTGTCTTTTATCTGGAATATTTCTTGAACCATGGGAGCTAGTCAGCTGTTTTCAAACAAATGCCTCTATTCTGTGATCATGAGTAGACCTCAAGCTACTGTGACACAGTTGGGTGACAGTGCACTAGGGATGCAGATATACCATTAACTTACTTTCCACAATCAAGTCTTTTCTTTCTTGGTGCAATGATCAAGACAACTTTGTTCAAATCTGTGAAAGTGTACATGTTTTCAAGTGTTGTAAGTAAAGAAACAACATGTAAGGATACTATATAATACCTGGTTACAGGAAATATTGATATGATATTTATATATGGAAAAGAATTTCCCAAGATGGTCAAGTGGCCAATCATATTAAGTAACAAACCCTTTGGTACTTGACACTGCTAATTGAGGTGAAGAAAGTGTACTGTTTGTTCCCGCTTGGTGTTGTGCTTTGGGTAAAGTTAGACATGTCAGTATGAATCCATTATATGAAAAACGGCTACCTGTTGAACATGGTGTGTAAAAAAAGAAAGCGCCTTCCTAGTCACCTTAGGAAGGAATATTTTAGCAGGTGCTTGGATGTTTATTGATGCAGATTGATTGTTCTGATTTTTACTGATGAGCAAACTTAAATGTGGTATGGCACAAATTGATCTCATATGTACAATCCTTCAAAGGTATACCAATTTGTCCTTGTATGTTTTCTGTACACCAATACTTACTGAAAGGAGAGATGAAAAATTCCAGTTGATATGCCTATTGATTTGTCTTTTTCTCATCAATTTTTTTTCATCATTGCATATTTGAGTAGTTATTGCTGAAATCAGACCACGGTGTTGTTTCAGGCAAGCACACTAGTTCCCAGTTCAGTATTACTGCCTGTGATGGCATACAGGTTTTAGCTGTATGTAGCAAGTTTACAGCCATGGAGCTGGCTGATTCTCCAGCAGTGATTTATGTGGTCTCACCTGTGTAGGTCTATCAATGTAAACTCCTCACAACATGAGGTAAAGGTTGAGGTATTGGTATGGCTGGCTTGTCTTAGGGCATTAAGAGTAGCAATGGCAGGGGAACTATGGAGAGAGATTAGGAAGAGGAAGGGTATTTAGTATAATAGAGTATTTATAACCAGGAGATAATTTTCCCTCCTTTTCTGTATATGATGTTGACAGAGAGTATACCTTTCTCTTTTCTAGTATTCCTGGTAGAATTGTCATGTGTTTCGTGGTTCTTTTATTTTCAAAGACCTGCTATAATCAAGGCCTTTTGAGTGTCATTGCCTCATTGCCTTGCTTATAGAGACAACCATTAGTTTGAAATAAACATCAAAACACCAAACCTCTTGCTTACACAGGATACCTGCTGTTTGTTGTGACACTTAAGCACCTGACATAACCGTTTTTATAGCACTTCAAAGAAATAATGTTGAGGATTTTTAGGCTCATTTACAAGTGGGGTCCTTTGTTTGACACCTCATGTGAATACACACCACTTCATAGGATATATTAGTCATATTGATGTATTTATTAACAATTGCCCCATGTCTTGTTCTTTTGGTTAATATTAAGGGCTGTAGTAATGTTATATATTTTCATTAAATACTGCCAAGAGAGATGTCCCAAAGGTATGTCCTATTTAGAGATAACTTTTTGAATGATGTGAGTGGACAATTTCAAGCGGAAGCTTGATCGATTGCCAGCATATTTAGAGCTATTTAACAGGAGGGTTGTAATGAAAAACATTGGGAGTATGTCATCATAATTACCCTGAGATTCATTTCCAACGTGCACCAGCTTCTTATTTTCAATTCCACATCAGATTAGTGAAAATATAGATATTAAGAAACTGGTCCACATTGGGCTTGGTGGCAGTGATAGTTAAATATAGTGTTTGTAATGGAAATTGGCAAAAGGGAATCACTATGCTACTCATCTTTATTTGCTACAACAGAGCCAACTAAAAATGTCACTGGCAGATCCAATATACAGTATAATTAAAAGAAAAAGGTGTCTTTTGGCCCTCTAACTCACTGCTGCTAAGGGGGTGAGGGGGCATCTCTACCATTTTGCTTTTGGAATGGGATTATGTTTGTGTGTGTGTGTGGGGGGTTATGCCCTTGCTCAACCTGGACCTATCTATGAATTTGATATAATGTAGGCTCTCCAAATAAAGAATGCAAGGTCACAATAACAATCAAAATATGTAATAAATGTAATTCAGTTTTTTAGGGTATAGTGTGGAAAACATCATGTAAGGGGTTATTTTCTTCAGTGATGTCTTAACAAACGCTGCATTTATGCAGTTTTCTTAATTAAGTCAATTTTAAGGAATAAATTAAGAATACAATACCTTGGTTTCTGGCATTAGGTAGACTTCTTTAGCAATTTATATTTATGTTTTGGGTGCTATGTTGTAATGTAATTTTCATTTTGTTAAAACTTTGGAAAAACACATCCAAGAATGATATAGATGAAGGAAACAGATGAAGAGAGATGAAATGATATATATTTAGAAAGTATAAGAATTTTCTAATTTGTTTGCTGAGATCAAATGAACAATTGTATTATACTTCTAACAGGACTTTCGTTGGCAAAAGAAGCACCATTGTACATATATATTATAATAACTCTTTAATTCCAACCTTTTTCCAATGATGTGCAATTAATGTAAACAAGATTTAGTGGTATGAAGAGTTACCATTGAATTGAATATGTACATAAATACATGTAAAGACTTATTTAAAGAGGTAACATTTTGATTCTGTAGCCAGTGTAAATAAATGATGTGATGACCCATCTCTTCTGTCTGCCTTGATGGTATTGTACTTTGAAATGATATGTCAGTAGCTATAAATCGATACCCTATATTTTCTTTTTCTCCATATATTTACCAAAGATGTAGATTCTATTGACTTATTGTCATAAAAAATATTTTCAAAAGCAACTAATGGTTACAAAATGCTTATTAATCAATTCTCAAAGTCGCGTTATTTAAAACTTTCCTTTATAAAAGAGAAATGGGTGCTATTTTCTTTTTTTTTTTCATCGTTAACGAACGACGCCTTATCGATTTGAGATCGACAGATTGCCAAAGCACAAAAAATAAATAATGATTGTGACAGAGAAGACGATCAAGTCTCGCAATATCTCGACTTCAAAATGCGACGTGTACGGTTCTGATGGCGGCTGCCGAACCCGCAGCTGGGTGGAAAAAATATCTGGTATTGCGCATCATGTTGAGGCACCCGGAATTATGCTGTATTGTTTTAGCAGGGATATTCACTGTCTTCTTTAAATATGGCCACAGGTGAGTATGTTTGCCTTTCATTAGTTTTTATACTTCTGTTGTCTTGTTACCGTGTAAGTACACGGTGTAGTCAGTACTACATGTAAGTACGTACTACATGTAGTATTACTAGGTGATGTGGTAAATAACACTCTTGAGTTGACTGATCAAGCACGTGCTCAGTGTCATTAAATTATGATTACAGTGTTAAAGTGTGTGACACCATATGTTGGTACCCGTTTAGTCATTCATTGCCGTGCTGCATTTGCTACGCAAGTTGAACTACTGACACTGATCTGTATGAATGCTCTAATGGCTAATGTCTAAACAAACCGTTCAATAAATTAAGCACACAGTGTTAAGGGAGTGATAACAAATTGAATGGATTGAAAAAATTTTTCTATGTTGAGCATTATTGATATTCAACAGTGATTAACCTTATCCTGACAAGCAACATAACAACGGATATATCATAATTTCAAGCTGCCCTATGTATTTAAACACACAAAGTAGATTTTCAAATATTGAATTCATTGACATAAATGACTATTCCAGCATAAAGAATGCTCGTACCATAACCCAATCCCAACCAGGGCCACGGCGTTTCTTTCCCATCAGCTCCGCTGTGATAGACAGCCCTCTGGGTGCGCTACAGCCTCTCTCTGAACTGGTTCACCAGGAGGAGGTGCTCTTTGTCATGTACTACGCCCCCTGGTGTGCACAGTCCATGGAGGCACGGTGGGAGTTTGAGAAAGCTGCCAGATATTTTCACAGACAGGTAAAAGATTTTTCAGCTGCTTGCCTATGTATGGGATCATGTGGAATAAATGTACCTGCAACAGTTTTGACGTAAGGTTGATGAAATATTGCGGGAAAAGGAAAAAACATAATTGATCTTGTACTTACATTTACCAGAGCAACTGATCCCTGCAGAGGTTAGTAGTATCATCTCAGTAATCATAGCTAATATCAGATTTTGTACACATCTACAAGGTACAAATAAAAATTTAAGATAATCTTGTTGTGGATAATTTATTGATAATATCTGTTTTGGAAAATAAGGGTACTTTCCCAGAGATTTAGATCGATCTAAAGATTAAGTTTTAGATCGACCTAACTCCCTGGGGGTTCACGCTAAATTGCAGTCAGCCGAGCAGGCACCATAGTTAATTACCCCCTTACAGCTTTTAGTAGGCGGGACAGACGCTTAAGCCAGCCAATCTGACAGTAATCTAGTGAGACTCCCCACAGGGATAGATCGATCTAAAAATCTATGGAAATGGGGTGTAAGATGCCTGGTTGTAGTATTTCATAAACTAAAAACCCTCTTCTTTACCCTGCCAGGTCACCTTTGCTGCAGTCAACTGCTGGTGGCCCCTGGGACAGTGTGCCAATATTCACGACTTCCATGCCTTCCCAGTGTTCTTTTTTTACCATACACATTTGGAGGGGTTTCCATATTTAGGTAAGTCACTCACACTCACACATTTGTACAACTTCAGCCTTCTGGCTGCCATGATTTTAAATGACCTCATTATAATGCTTACAGCTTTGTGTCATATAACATTAGGAATATTTTTCAATTAAATAGTATTTGTGATGAAGTAATGTGCATATGGTCCTGAATTTTTCAGGTCGAAGTGATTTTTCTGTATGCTTTATATTTCTGGGGTAGCACTAACACTCGCCAATTTAGCCAAATGCTAAAAATGGCCTAACTTGGCTAAACAAAAAGGGCTTGATTTGACTCATTTTAGTCAAATTAAAACCATTTGGATAACAAATTGACCAAAAAAAAAACGGTGATTTGGCTAAGCGAAAAAAATTGCTAGTGCTACCCCAGTATCCATTTAAATACACTTATGTTGTGTTTTTCAATATATTTCTGTTTTCTTCATAGGTCTCCGCACTGTGGAACACATGATTGCATTCCTGGAGAGGTTCTTGTACCCCTTAACTTATGTCACAACTCAGGACCAAGTCAAGGCCTTAAAAATACACAGTGATGTATGAATTATTGACATTTTCTACTCTTTGAACATTTTTTAAATCCTTCAAAATGCCTGAAATGCTCATTTTTTGGTTAATGTGATTTTAGGTTAAAAAGTTTTGGTGGTGGATTGAACTTTAAAGGAGTGGATTGAACCTTCTGAATATATGCTGAAAGTAATAAATCAATGGCACTAAAGTTTATTTTATTGAAGTCTGTAAAGTGTTTATATAATTTTTCCCAAGAATGACCATAATTTTTTTCTGTTGCAGAATGTAGTTTTGAGCTTCTTTGACTTCAATGCCTCTCCCCAGCCTCCTGGACTTGTGCAGTTTTACTATGCATCAATGAGAATGATTGCTGGTGAGTTTTGGGCTTGGGAGTAATATGATTTATAGGTGATTCAGGTTTTGAATCGTGAAGAAAATTTTATTTTGACCTTTGCCCATATTGTTAAAAGTACAGGTCTACATTTTCTCTCAATTGTACAAACAGTGATATATATATATATATATATATATATATATATATATATATATTGAATTAAATAGTCATTTTTGGACATTTTTTACCTTCCGAATCGGTGGATTAACACTTTGACGCAATATGACAGCTTTGCATGTAGATGCAATAACTTTCCTGTATTATTATGTTCTCAGTGTCCATGGAGCACATTCCGTTTGCAGTTATAACTGACCCTGTCTTGGCCACTGACAATGGGCTGGCTAACTCCAGTTCTTTTCATCTTTTGAGGTCTCTTAATGAAACTGTGGTAAGTGGATGGCAAGTAATTCATTGTTAGTGTTATTGTATTATATTATATTGAAACTTAGTTTTAATTTTGTGCATTTTTTTCAAAAAGTTAAATTTTTTTTTATAAGTCCAACATAAATATTAATTTATTTTTGTTAGGAAACTAAGAAAAACAATTGTTTAAAGAATTAAAAAGTGTTTGTTTTTTTTAATGAAGTTATGTGTATTTCAGAATTATAACTTTTGTGTTCGCATTTGATTTTAGATATATCCAGATTCAGGGAACATAAGTTCTAGTCAACTAGTGTCATGGATTGTGAAGCATAAGCAATCTGTAAGTGGACAGATCTGAAATTCAATGACATCAAAGTCATTAAATATATTTATTTTAGCCTAGCAAAGAGAAGAGTAAACCTTTACTTGATAAAGATGGATATGGCTGTAAAAATGACATTATGTTTGAAAATAGATAAAATATGCCTAATATTTAGTTCTTGGTGTCACAGTTTGTATTTGGAGTAAGGAAAAATTTTCATTCTCAGTTTGTCTCTTTTGCTTTTAACCAGCCTGCAATCCAGTGGGTGTCTTCTATGGGTATGAAAACTCTCACTTTGTCTACTGAGATGAAGAAAGGAGCAGGCATCTTTGTGTTTACTACATTGAACCCACTGGGTGGCTTCAACCAGTATATCAACATGGTAACAAGCATAATGTATTTTGTATTGCCCTTCAATGGCAATTTTCCTCTTTTAAAACTTCTTTTCCCCTCCTTATCCTATTTCTATAAAAAAAAGGAAAAAAAGGTATTGGTATAGGTTGCATCCATGAAAAATTAACCAAGAAATCAGTGAAATATACTGAATGATTACTATTTCAGATCAGGGAAGTTGCCCTGGACTACTATAATTGTGATAATTCTTCCAAAGTAAGGGACATCATTCATGGCAGCATCCACCATAGGTGGCGGTCGGTGCAAGAGGAGACACAGCAGCAGGAGACTTGTAAAACTTTATTCAACATCAAGACATCTGGGTCAGATGATCCAGCTAAGAGCAAGTGCTGTCAATCTGTTGTGATAGACGACCAAGGAATTGGGTCAAAAAACCACAATGTCTGTGATGTGTGTGTCAACTACTGGACCAGTTACAATCGTTATAAACACTGTAGAGTCCTTCCCATGTCTAGCCTGTCATTAAACAGACCTAAGAGACCTCTTCAGATTAACATGTGCCAGGAGTCAATGCTGCATTATGATATTAATCAGAGAATGAGTTTATGTTGTTCTGAACTTCTTACGGAGAGAACTGCCAAAGCTGCTCCAAGTGTGAATTTTAAGAGAACCAGAAAGCCTACTGATGCATTTACTTTGAATGCAGCTCAGAGGGAGAAAGAGAAACTATGCAATAGACGTAAATTGAACAGACTGCTGAAGTACACATACAAATCACACAAATCACTGATGAATGACAGCTTTATACAACACAGTTTCACTGGTCAGAGCTGCAGAACCAATAGAACACTGAGATTCTTTGCAGTAGATGATAAATATCATGCTGTGTTTGCCTCTAGGTTAGGAATACGACTGGACAAAACTCACAATGGTGTGGCAGTAGTATTAGTGGACATAAAGGTCAGTAGTATTACTGGACATTGTCTGTAGTCCATAGCATAAGTGGACAGGAAGGTCCATTTTGTTTTTGGACACTAATGTTAGCTTCTTGAACCTTTCACAGTATTTTGCTTGATAGATGATAAGAACAGGCATATATTGAGGCCTATTCTGATAGTTAACTGCAGGGATAGTAGTGCATTGAACAGTCATGTAAATAAAGTGGTTGGTCATTTCATTAAATATAAGATTTCATCTCAAAAGCCATTTGCTGTCACTATGACTATGTTAATCAATGTAGTCCAGCTCTGTTTGTCTTCATTACAGCAATCATTGTGCATTTTAATCTATGTTCTGATTTCAGAATGAAGCACAGTATGTGATGACTTCTGCTGTTAGCAAAAGAAATTTAGGTATGTCATTGAATCAACATTAGGATGAGTTTTTTCCACATGACAGTTGCATATAATTGTGTCATAAGGTGTCTCAACATGCTGTAGTGTATATAGGGTTGCTTAAGGGACCATTTGTAGAATATTTGTCATTAATCTTGTTTTCTGTGCTTATTTGATGCAGCTATTTGAAATTATAATGAAATTGATACTTATGCTCAAAATTGCATTTTATGGAAAGTTGAAATATGGGGAATACATGCAACTGTATACAAGTCCAAAGGCCAAGTGGTAAACAAAATGGTTTGAAGTGTATATTTGCAAGGCATATCTTAATATTGAAATTGTCCTAGTGATGCCATTAAATAATCGTAAAAGGTGACAGAGAAATTGAATTTTTGGCACCAAATTCCACTGCGTAGTTCTCTAAAAAGTCTTGTCGGGGGCTTCCCTCCTACATGATAAAAATAGCAATAATAAAGCATCCTAACCTCCTTTGTTATGTGAATGATGTAAAATGTTTATGATTAAAACTTGATTTCCAATGTGTTTTTTAGTTGAGTTCATAGAGAGCTATACCCACAGTGAGTTGATGCGGGTGTTGAGGACGTCCACTGTTGTGTCGGAGTGTGGTACCTCGGAGGAACACTCTTGTGTCATTGAGCTTACTGCCAAGACATTCCATCAAGTGGTCATGGAACAAAATCAGGTAAAAATTGAAAGGGGTAATTAAAAAAATTTGATGTAAAGATGGTTGTTATAAATATAAATGACAGCTGTACACAATTACTATCAATAACTTACTGTGAGTTGTGTGACATTTCCCAATATAAAGATGTTAGTCATTGTTATCTGATACTTTGGTGACTTAACAGTTACGTCGGTAGTTCTTTAGACTGGAAAGGATATCATTTCCATAGTCCAATCTGTTAGGTAAAAATCTATTTACCTGTCTTTTTTTTCTTCTTTTCTTTTCTTTATTATTTATTATTTATTCCTTTTTTTTTATAAGTAATGACATGTTTTAGGTCCATTTCCAATTTAAAATAATCCTGCTTTGAACATGGCTCGATGTGTACTCCTATGTATCTAAGTGGTTTGTGTCCTCTGTTCTAGGATGTTGTGGTGTTCTATTATACTCATTGGTGTGGTTTCTGTGCTGGAGTCTTGCATCTCTATCTGACTGTGGCCAGGTATTTCAGGGACGTCACTGACCTGGTCTTTACAAGGTAGGTCATATATTGTGCTTGGTGATGAGTTTGTGATAAAGATAGTAAGTCTTTTAGCACTGTTTTACCTTAACGGCAAACACCAAGGTTTAATTTACTTCCTGTATATATTGTTTAAATGTCTCTTGGGTAGGGTGTATTTTAGATGGGTTAAAACTTATGGTTTCAACTTTTCTTTGTTCTGCAATGTTTATCATTCCCCTGATCAACTGCAAGATAAGGTAGCCATATTGTATGTCAGCCTCATTTTTGCTTCCATTCAGCTGAGATTTGCTCTTATTCAAGCAGACTAATCAAAAACATCACTTTATCAAACATACAGAATTGTTCAAGCAGACTAACCAAAAACATCACATTATCAAACATACAGAATTGCAAGATGTTTTACAGTTAAATTGTGTTTTAGGGTCAATGCAGACAGCAATGATCTTCCCTGGGAGTTCACAGTTACCACATTCCCTACAATACTCTTTTTTCCTGCAGGGAGGTAAGTAGGCTCAGCGTTAGTCATAATCTTTAAACTGAAATTAATGTGTATATTGAACAAAACTTGTGGAATGGATTTTTTTTATATAACCTAATGCAAACCTTGGCCTGCCTGGAACAAACCTTAGAACCCAAACTGTGTAATTTATGTTGTGTATTCTGTATATTTATTGCAGTAATATAGAAACATACAATATTACAGAAAATAATAACAAAACATTACAAGTGCCTCTGAAAGTGAATTGGGTTTTACTGCACTAACTTCAGAATTTAGTGTGTGAAATGTGTCCTACACATTGTTCATGACACAGTGATGATGATGGTGATGATCAGATGTGCTTTCATGGAGCTTTTATGTTCAGAAGTTGTAATTATATTTTATTTTTTTGTATTGTTAGGGAGGGTTCCCATACCCCTATTATACTAGCTGGATCAATCTAACTCCTCGGGGATACTTTTAAAATTGTATTCAGTTTAAGCAGCTTAAATGTCTGGCACGCCCCATCGTAACGTGAAGCTCTTGGGTAAAGTCGGGAAAACTTTGTGGTCCATGATGTTATTCATGTTGCTTTGTGAGGGTGCCTTTAGCTGATTACATTGACCACACCTTAGTGAGATTCCCCAATGAGATAGATTGATCCTGCTAGTATGATAAGTAGTCTTAGACTTTGAAATCCTGACAAGAACACGTCATGTGTATAGTTGTGAAGTCTGTGCTGTTGGCTTTGGGAGCTTATTCCACTCGCCTTCACCTTGGCTGCTCTCTTCATCCTACTTCGTTGTTTTCCTCACATTTCTCTGTGTCCATACCCTCTAACCACAGCTGATACTTTTTTACTTGAAAAACACTATAGAGTAATTGCACTCTTATTGAGAGTTACAGGCTTTAAGCTCTGGCCCCAGTGTCACAAAAAAAAAAAAAAAAAAAAAAAACTTATCAGTTTCCTGGCTTAGTTGACTAGGATTTCAATGAGAGTGCTGTAACATGTGACCATGTAACTTTGGTAATTAAGTTCTTAGCCAGGGAACCTGACTTAATTGTTTTTTTTTTTTTTTTTTTTTTTTTTTTTTTTTTTTTTGTGATATTAACCAATTAATTGTCTAGATTTGTTTAGCTTTTGCATTAAAGTTTTTATTCTCTATCTGAACGCTTATCAGGGTTTAGCTTAAGTGTCTCTTGCTTGATATTTCTATCAGGGAGGCTTTTGGTGTTGTGATCTACTCTGGGATTATCAGGAACTTAATTACTCATGATTCAGTGTGTATAATTCTCATTTGAGTGTCTAGCTCCTAAATGTCTGGGATTTATACTGTTTTCTCTTCTCTCTCTATGTTGGACATTGTCCTAACTTCTTTGGGAACAATGGCATTTGCAAAACTAATTTTTCTTTATTTGGCATTGAAGAGGTCATTTTTATTGTTTTCAGAAAGGAGGACAGTGTGCATTTCCCTGACCATCTTGCCAAATCGGTGCCTAATCTGATCAATTTTGTGCTCCAGCATGCCTCAAAGTCTCTCAAGGTGCGTGCTGCACTGGAACTTTGCTCAGGCAGCTGTATACAAAGCAATAAACATAACACTGCTGAAGCAATCAAAACATTACAAAGAGAAGTCACTTTTTTGAGCTCTAAAACTCTGAAAATCACCCACAGGTTGGGGCAGCTAAAACACATGCAGACTCTGCTCAAAAGGGAGTTTGACCATGTAACAGGTGATCAAAAGGAGGAGCTCATTGTAAAGAACGGGACACTATGCAACAAAATTGGAGTGTTGGAGAAATATTTGGATATATTAAAGCAGAGGAGGAAGAGAAAAGAAACTCAGTCCGTTTGTGCCAAAGATTTGTACAAGGTTCTATCAACTAGTAGATCTAGTCATCTAGAAAGATACAGACTAGTCAGTCTGCTAACTAAATATGAACTGCTCAGGCAGAAGGTCTTAGGTGAAACTGTGAAAGTGGAAAAGAAGACGTCGAGGATGGAAGATGGGCAATCTTATGTTATGAGGGATCAGTTTTAGTTCCTCCAGCATTATTAAACTTGAAAAAATAAAACTGAATTTTAAGGCTAATGACATATGAAATGCTACAATTGACATTGAATACAGTTTATTCCCCATCATGTTAACCTTTTTGAAGTTCATTGTGCATTGGTTCTTGTATTTCTGTAGCAATGGTTTTGACTCTAAGAATGGACATGAGAGCAATTTTGAAAATGGTTTAAGAGTTCTCAGTGCAGTGTAGATTAATAAATTGTTAAATTGTTCCCAAATATTTGGAAAGAAAGATCTTCCCACCAGGTATATTTTAACAAAATGAACTTTGACTGGAATTTGTCAGCAGGGGGTCTGTCAAGTCTTTTTTTCAGCAAGGAAAATAGGCTGATATTTAATCATATTTATCATAGTTATTTATGATAAAATCTACAAAGAAATGTGGTTATTCCATCCCTAAAACAAATTGGACTTGTTGCTACTAGCTGGTAAGTCATTAAAGCCTGGTAAACCACTAAGATAAATCTTGTTTTGTACAATATTTTCATACAGAAGAGGATTTAAGGTTAAAAAAAAAAAGAAAAAAAAAAGGAAAAAAATTAAGATGGAGACCAGCTATTATCAGGGCTTTATAATGAGACCTTCAACTACAAATGAAAAACTATAAAAATAAATTTATTTTATATTTAACACTGTATACTACTAGAAAAATAGGTAAGAAAGGTTTCTGTAAATACTAAGACATAATGATAGTCATAATTTATTACAGAGGAGTGTTATTATTTTTGTGCAATGCAATATAAATGTTAATATATAGATGTGCTATTTTAGCTTCATCCCATCCTCATTTACCACCAAGAATGAAATATTCTGAGATAGATTATGTTGTCATACATGGTATTGCTCACAGTTCTGTAGTTCTTCCATTGCCTAAACTGCAAGAAAGGGTGAGGAAAAAGATGAATAAAAACTAAGTGTAGTGATAATAATAGCTGAATACTAAATGTTGCATTGGTACAATTGCCAGCTACCTGTACTACACTTTTTGTAAAGAACACAAATTATATAAAAAGATAAGTATTAAAAGACAACAATAACTGTGTTAATACTATACAGATGTATGTGTTGTGACGGGTGCCTCTTATAAACCACTGAAATAAACTTACAGTGAATCAATTTTAATAATATAGTTTTTTCTCATGGCAACTGGTGAAATGTGATCACAACTGTGGTTTTACTTTAGAAATATCAGTGCAATCATCAGAACATAATTATTGATTAATATGCATATTTACAGAATTTAAGTCCCCTTACAGAACTGTAAGAATTCCAAGTAGCTGATAGCAAGTGTTTATAGTTACTCAGCTGATTGAGTAAACATCTATTAAGTTTTAAATGAAATAAAAAAAAGTTGTATTTATTTTTTGCCATGTTGTTTTTACTTATACATATTGTAGTATCACACTAGCTGATGTTTCTCCCTCATGTGAAGTGTGTTGACTTTGGCAAAATAAGAAAAATATTAAATTTTGTCATTTTTGGACCATCATTGAACTAATAGCAAAATTGATTAATAGCCAAGACAAAAATCATGACCCAAGATTTATTTGTTTCTCATGCCATATATCTTTAAAAATGATGTGTTCACATTGTACAGCAACATTTTCTCGTTCTCTGAAAAATTTCTCCCATAGAGAGATCAGTTGGCTGCCGGTATCGGTATTTGTCCAGGTGTGACATAGAACTAAAGGTGTGTTTACATTGAAGATAGATCCCCCGTCTTGCCATAAAACTCTGGGGCCCATGGGGTTAGTTGGGAGCAAGGAGAAGCTTTATGTGCTTAGGTAAATCCAATTTATTAAGATGGCCTTAGGGAAGGCTCAAACTTATCTTCAGTGCAAATGCGCCTTAGGCCTTACATATGATTGCAGTAGGAATTGTGCATGTGGCCTTGCTGTAATTGGTGAGATATGTACAACAGCTGCATTTAATTCGACACATCTCTGGAGAAATGAACAAGTTGTTCCAAAAATGTCTGATACTTTTTTTTTTTTTTTGGGAAAATCTGTGCTTACAGATGTTGTTTTCCCACATTTTCCTTACTGTCATCCCAAATATGTGTGGAAAGAGAACCAAACCAAAGAGGTCATCATTAAATGACCTTTAAGTTGAGATATGAATTCAAAATCTTCAGGAAATGTGTCTTCGAATGAAACTAATTATATGATATGTGATCAAAGCAGGTAATTCCAGCTCTTTTCTGTCCTTGTTATGTGCCTCAAGTTTTATTTAAAATGTCAAGTATAATTGCAGACACCACGAAACCTGTAAATAGTTTATGGGTATGGAGGCCAAATGGCAGTCAATCACACATCAAGTAATTACATGAACTAATTTTTTGGCTTGGGGGCTGCACTGGTGGAATTTACAGGTGTTACAGGCAGTTATAATGTCAAAAATAAACCGATTTGCCTTTCATTTCCTTTCTTGGTTAAAGTAAAGAGAATATCATTTGAGTAGCTTAAAGATCCATTCATCATTTTCATGCACTCTGGTGAAAGAGAGCTAAGTGATTATTTTCTCCTGATTGCCTTAATTCTAGTGCATTTTAAACTTGTGAAATGGTCGAAATTTTTTGCCTGAGCAGTATTGTAGCCAAAACAGTGATTGGTTAATACCTTTTTTCTTATAGCCAAACTAAATATTTTCTTTAAACAATGATATTTTCTTAAGCTTTGAATTCTTTGAGTAATTATAGGATACATGTTGTGACATTACCAAATAATAATTAATGGCATTTGTTACATTCCTATCAAAAATGTTTTAAAATAAATAACTATTATAATATGAATTTACAGCAGTCATATTATTTTCATCTGTGAAAGTTGGGACCCAACAACAAACAAATACTGTTATATCAAAATTATGTAGTGGTTGTGGGGGTGTGTAGATACATGGATAAGCATAAAAATACCTCAACAATAATGCTAAGAAATTTGTAATTTAATCTAAAAAAGAATGCTTTACATACAGAAATGCTGCCAGCATTTGTATGGCAAAACAATCCATAAGGGGAACATGAGCAAATAGTGCAAACAAATTCAGGTCGTACTTTTCCTTGTCTTATGCCATCTTCAGTCCTGTGCTCAGGTGGCTTATTAAGAGAAGATGATGAATTACGGCCATGAACTGTGTCCCTGGTGAAGAACTTTCCCCCTTCAGATTGGCCATTTTTCAATTTTTACTGCGTGAGCAGAATATATAGGGTTTGAACACCAATCGATTATGGAGAAACTATCGTATTTGATGAGAAGTAAATAGACCAATGTCCGGGGGCACATGTCGTTCTCAGAGCTGACAGGTCTGCATGCTGCTCCTATAAATTGGAAATTCATTTACATCACTTAACCAGAAAACAGCTTAGCAGTGAGTAATGCTCCTTAAACTGTGTGAAGAAAAGACAATTATAATATTTGTCCAAGGGGAACCTACCGGAAAATTAAAGCCGTTTGGATGAATGATGCTCAAAATTTAATAGTTCTATCTGTATGGATTCTGAAAGAAGATACTGCCTGTATGTGGATTGTGTTATGTCATATAAACATATGCAAATTGTAAACCACTCTAAGACTTCGTTTTGTGTTACAATCTGTACATTTTCAGCATAATAGAATCCCAGAGTCATGTTACTACAATGGAATTTGAATGAAAGATGTTACGGTTATTATAATGGGGATGTTTTGCATGAGTTTTGAAGAAACAAATGGCATATTTTCATGTATTTTTCCAAAACTTCTTGTTTGAACTTTTGTTTGTGCTTGTTTGAACTTGTTAGCACAGTGCAGTAGGCCTGTGACTTGTACTCCTGGCAGAAAAGACTAAAACCAATTGGAAGCAGGTGATATAATTGGATTATCTCCATTAAGTGCATCCCATTTTCTTAACATGGTGTCCTCGTTAATAACCTGTTTATAAATTGGTCTTGTATAGAAAGTAAGTTAAATGTCAAAGTTATTATTATTATTATTATTATTATTATTATCGAGACAGCTTTAGTTTACTTGAGTTCTGCTGCTGCCAAGCCACTGATCAATAACTGAGAAAAGTCACTTTCAATTCAATTTTCATCTGTGTTTGGTTAAATTTGATTTAGACTCATTGATTTTGTAATGGTTTCTTCCAATTGTATGTTATCTATCTCTTGAAATGAGTCCACTGGTGTTAATCTTCTGCATCTGTGATGTGCATTTGAAGCTGGCATGGACTGAATGCTGTTAAGTTAATTTCAGTAAATGTATTAATATCTTATTTGTGCTGATTATTCTGGCGCTGCTGTCAAGCTTTCAGGCCTGTTTGACGTTATTAGTGTTCAATTTTTATCAGTTTGTGACAAAACCAGTTTGAATCTGTTTGTAATTGAATTTGTGTTATCATTGTCGTGTCATTTAAAAAGAAAGAATTTTTTTAAATTGCATGTTTGCCTAATTTGACAAGATATAGTTGTAAAAAAGAATGCCTTTGCTGCTTTGAATTGTGTCAAATATGTTTATGAAAATTAACACACAATGACTGATTTTAGTGCTTCAATGAGACACCTATTTTGGACAATGTTCACTTTTTGTTTTTGTTTTTTTTAAGTTAATAAATAGAATCAGTAACCATCTTGCTAGGGCGGAATAGCAGTTGACTTGCTGTGGATTAGATTAACTACAAATTGGCATTCAAGGAAATATAAGACAACAAATAGTTACTGTTGTGAAACAAGCTGTCTTGTATGTGAAAATTAAATTCCTGTTGTATCTGGACACCAGAGGGCTGTGAAGGCAGGGCTTGTTCTGCAGGTTTGAGGGTAATGAGCAGCTATTGATCCTCCATTATGAAAAAACCAACCCTGTGACAAACTTCATGCCCACTGAGGCGTGTTTCTTTTCTGTTTTAATTTTTTTTCCAATGTTGACTTCTTGAATTTGGTTGTTTTTATGTTTTACGGTTATTATTTTTGAAAATAAAACCTGTAAAATGTTTTACAAGATATCAAAATTTTGATCAAACTAAAAGGGTATTTTTCTCTACTTTTTATCTTTGCAAATATCATTAAACAGTTTCTAAAGGACACCTTGACCAATGTAATATGATATAAATTTACATACTGCACTGTGAAATAAGGCAGTCACCTCAGAGAATAACACGCGCGCTTTAGATAACAGTGCGTGCTGAGTTTCTTCACCAACAGGGAAAATTTCAAATTGTGTTATCTCGATGTGTCAAAATTATTTAAGATTAAAGGAATACTACAGGGTAAGAAAAATTATATTAAGATAGATTGGTCCCCTAATCTAAAGAATTGTTCTTATTTCATGTCTTTACCTCAAAAAATGACCTCTTTAGTTGGTAATTATAATAGCATTACTGTCCTGAAAGGCGCAACTAGATTTTGTAGAATTCCTTTTCATTATATGATGATTATCACTTGTCTTGGCGTCTCCATGTAGTGTGTTCAGTTTGCATCGGTTGCATTACAATAACCAGAGGGACTTGGATCAATATGCTCGTCTTAGGAAAAAAACAAGAGGAATTGAAAGTCATTTTCCCTAGAGAAGGCCTATGGACAGTCTAATTGTCCCTGGGAAACACTGATGAGCATTTTAAAAATGAATATGCCAGGCTGAAAGCACACATATTTTAACAAATGTGAATATGATTAAATACAGTGGTATTGTTTTCATGTGGGCTCTTGAGTGATGCCAGTTTAAAGGTAAATGAAGCAAATATTGTATGTTTAAATAAAAGATGTGTAACACATTAAACTAGGTGTGGTAGATGTAATCAGTTTCCATGTTATGATGTATCATTTAGATGTAATCAGAAATACAGATGAAATGTGGTATTGATCTTGACTTACTCAAGAATGCTTTTGAAACTGTATTTCGTAAGTGGTGCATATGCAATGATTAACCACTAACTACATTGTAGCCTGAATGAAAATAAATATGCTTATTTTCTTGTGCACAAATGTGTGATATATATTTGTAATAAGGCATTTGCTACCAGACAATTTGCTTTACTTGCAAGAAACTATTAATTATTCTAGGGTAAATTAATTTTATAGTTATTTCCACATGTATGTCCTGTAAATATACCAATATGCTATATTTTTGAATTAGTGAGAAAGAAGTAAAACCTGCACTTTTAGCAAAGTTCACATTTTTATGTAGCATTACACAACTTCACCACAAGGGGTCTGTTTTTCACCTGCCTTTCACTAATGGTTTAGTAATGTTCTACGGCAAGCGAATTAACCAAGGGACGTTTTTACACTTGAACACTAGAAGTCAATCCTGCTTGCATAATCTGTTTGGCAATCCCAGCAGGTATAAATTTGTTCTCCACGTGAACATTTACAGGGAATGGTTCAAATTATTGTGAAAAATAGGTGAAAAACTGTTTAGTCATGTTTAGGCATGATTCTTGCTGTTTGTTTGATGTCTTGTCATTTTCCAGGCTATGTTTGTCCAATTTATCTTGAAACAATCTGTATAAAACACAAAACTTTTCTATTTAGCATTAATTATTCAAGCATTAATTTTTCTTTATTTTTTGACAGATATGTTTTATAAAGAAACTACAAATTACTTTAAAATATTTCATAAATTTTAGTCAAAATTGATTTAAAAATGATTTGGTTGGACAATGTGAAAGAAATTTCTTGAAGATATGTTTCAAATAATTTTTTTGAAAGGCAGTGATTTAACATCAGTTGTTGTAACAATGTGAAAAAAAACTTTAAGAAAACATGGAGTTAACATTTGTGTATTGGTATCTCAGTGACATCATGAAATCGCGTCAAATGTTTATTCTTGAGATTAGCAGCAAGTAGGAAAATGAATGAAAAATAAGTTGTGGATTTGTAAGTAAAGAAGGCACTCCAGGTACGCATATGGTAACTCACAATGAGCAGGACAAGTTCTGTTGGTGGTGATACAGCAAAGAGATAAGACCAATAATGATAATTTCAACTGCTTTTCAATTTGATCTCAATTTCATCTTTGGATGAATCTTTCTGTTTTAGTTTTAATTTTAAAGCAGTATATTGCCACATTTCATTTGTGTCTTCCCTGAAAATTCCTTGTGGAGATTTCCCACTGGAGACTGTTTGTTACATGATGATATTATCATTTGACGTCATGCTATGCAGACATATTACAGGAGACATGGATTGAATCACCATATTCTATCTATGAATACCCTCTTGCCTGAGTTTTATGTGTCTTGTTATACTTGGGCAGGGTGCTTTGTGTTTTTTTTTTTTTTTTGTCTATTTCATTTAAGTCTTTTTTAATTGTTTCAGTCTTCACTTGCTAGCACTGGTTCAAGCATTTTATTTCTAAATGTTTTTGGAACAATTGTTTTATTGGAATATTCCATGTTGCCCTTCATATTTCTAATTATTTCCAATAGTTTATTTTTTCATATTTTATACTGCACTTGACAAAGACTTTTTTGTAACAGTTTGAAAAAGTGAATAGCATAAGACATAGAAAAAATTTTGGTCTCACAGACAACATTGCCCAAAATCATTTTTTAAAAATGCACAAATATCACAAAAAATAATACTCACATATAAGAACAATTTGTTTTTATTCAAATGATGCAATTTCTTATTTGCTAACAAGGACAACAGTTTTACATCTTGTAAAAAGTTTACAGGCCCTACATTTCTCGCTCCTTGCTGCCTTATTAGAGCACTGATCTGTGCTCATTGAAGGAGTAACCAGAGGTGATGGTTTTACATATTATTGTAATTACTGCTGTGCTTTGAGGCTGTGCAAAAAAACAAACGCCTAGACAGTAATGTTCATCATAGGATTTGAAGGCTCACAAGAACAGGTCCCTGTGGGATATCATAGATTTCAGTCTCTGCCAGCTTAGGCAAGTGTGAGAAGTACGTAAATGCATGCCCAGTGAGTTGGTGTCTAGTCTGAGCAGCAGAGTAATTACTAGATAATTTACATTAGATTTGGAAGAGGAAATTAAAGAAGTGAGTACCATCAATATGAATAGAAATATGTGAAATATTAATAAGTTTTCATCTACTACAATTTCCCTATTTTTTTACTCCAGAGAAGAGACCAGTAGCCTTGTTTGAATATTATTTTCAAGGCACCGTCACGACGTCAAGCTGAAACTCCTATGGGATATACCCAGAGGCTGGAGAAAGTAAGGGAACACATCACAGAAGCTGCAGTGAAAAGGTAAAAAGGGATTTATAATATGTTTATGTACAGAAATACATGTAGTAGAAGTACAATTTAATAAGGTAGTAATTCAGGTTGTGTTTGGAAGTTTTTAACTTTGTTAAATTAAAATCTTTTGTTTTACTTTGTCAATATACAATTTTATAAAATATTTTGAATTTGAATTTGTGTATATTTTTGTTGATATGCTTGCATCTTCATTATATATATATATATATATATATATATATATATATATATATATATATATATCTTTTCTGAATATGTATTTCTTCCTCTTATATGTAGCTTTGCTTTTAATTTAATTGACATATTAATGCAGGATTGCCCCATCATAACAGATGCCATAAGGGCATTGTATGGTTTACTTATCATTTATCAAAACCATAAGGTAATTGATGTGAAGGTGCTCTCTGAAGAGGTGATATTTACTTTGTCCTCTTATCAAAATATAATAACTGCATTGAAAGTCAATCTGGTCTGTGGATGATTCAGAATATTTATCACCTTTTACTATTTTTTAAAGATGGAAATAAATTCATGCTCAAATTCAGTCAAAAAGGGATGGAATTGGTATCCTCTTTAAACTGGATATAAAAGATACATCAGTAATCTTGATTTCCCGTTGTTTCTGCACTTGCATTTTTAGAATTATATACACATACTGGAAAAAAATTTGCCATGAAATATGACAGAATTTGATGACATAAAATGTGGCATAGGAAGGTTTCATTGAGGCTCCTGTGTTATTATGGACTCTTTCCAGTGTAATCCATAATTTGGAAAGACTTTGACTGTCATGCATGTAGTCTTGATTTTTTCACACATTCAACATCCGCTAGAAGTGGCAGAAGTGGCAGATGTTCTAAAGGTATATATTGTTCACTAAAAAATGGGTACCTGCATTAAAAGGAAATTCCTTTTTTTCTTTACAATGATCAACATGATATACAAATGTTGTATATGGTTTATTAGTTATACATGTACAGTGATGACTTGATCTTTTTCATGTGGAAAAACTACCCATTTTTCAGATACATAATTTTAGAATCATAAAATATATTTTGGTGCAGCATTTGTGAAATTTTCTATATATGATAGAACTATAAAATAGTCAGCTTTTCAGTTTTGTTGCAAAGCACTCAACAGAAGAATTTATGACTTAAAAATGTACAGTATCTGTGAAATTCACAATTTTTCCCATTGAAAAGATAGAGTCATTACCCTAACCTAGTGTTTCAATGAGAAGACACCATGGTGGTATGTTATTACATGTAATTACAGGTAATTATGTCACCTGTATTTCCATGAACATTGAAATATTACCTGTGTTTCCACGAACATATGGATTTGAAACCATTGTTGAAGATAAAAATGCATCCAGTCAGATTAAAGTTATGAAAAATTTTGAAAAGTTCACTTTCTATGAGTTCTGGCATGAAGGGTGTCTAAAAATAATGTTACTGTTATTCCCTTTAGAGATATGATGTCTAGAAGATATCAATGGGTTATGATGAGTATGGAACCATTTAGACATATACAAAACCCAATGGACTCAGGGCAGAAATAGCAAAGTTTCAGCATCATCAGGTGGCTATGTTGCCAGATCAGGAAAAGAGCAGCAATTAGGCTTTGCTAATATAAACTGAACCTGGTTAGGTGCAAATTATTTCATTTATAATCGTATTTGCTCAGTATCATCTAGCATTGGATATGGAGGAATTTGATCTGTAATCAATGTACAGTAGCCAGTTTTATCCTTGTGGCTAAAAGTACTGAGGCCACGTTTATATCAAAGTATGTTAACTAGGTTTACCTCTCTCAGACTGACTAACTGAAAGTCCCAAATACGCAAAAATTTTGCCACATTTAACTAGATTTTTTCCTTTGATTTATTCAGTTCACCATTGGTAACATGCCATCATATTAAAATGAACTGCATTGCATGTATTTAGCCACACTTTTATTTATTCAACCAGCAAAATAGTCATTGAATGAACATATTATCTATAGAATCCTTGAATCATAAGAAAAAGTGTTTAATTCATGTATTTTGTTTTGTATAATGCTATCTTATGTCCTCACCCCAGAGTTAAGTTGTCACTTAAAACGTAGATCCCTGCCCGGCCACAGATTAAACTTGCCATTCTAACTAATTGGCCAACAGACATATTGTTAATCAGATACCTCACTGCTCAGATTACTTACACCAAAGTGATGCTTAAATTTTCCTTACACATCAAAGACAATGTCAAGTAAAATGTTTTAGCACCAGATAATGTTAGTATGTGATACATTTTCCACATAAAATTAATTTATATGGAATAATGGAGACATCAAAGCAACGCAAAGATTTTTTTTAAGGTAGAAAAAACCATGAAACAGCAGTCATTATCCATGTCTCTCTTCCATCAAACTGATGAATTTGTTAAGGTTACTGTGAAGATAAAACTTCTGCAGATATATCACACTTTACTCTAGTATGAAAGTTTTCAGGATTATGCCTGACTTAAGGACTTTTGGTCTTCATTTTGATAGTTTTTTCATATGGATTTAAATTCAATGAGAAATTGAAAGCTACCTACTCAGGACTTTTAGTTTTTACAATTTTCACCCATACTCTAGGTTTTGCTGTTTGGGTAGTTCATTTCAGGCCCATGGACGGAGGAGGGTGGACTGCCCTTTCAGCCAAAAATGGGTCTGCTCTAAATCAAAATTTGAACTAGGTCCTAGATGTGCTATTTCTCAAGTTGGGTCAACTAAGGGGGTGAAGTGATCCATTTTTTTCTTCAGAAAAATAGCTTTCTTTGTAATTGCTAGCTACGGGCCTGCATCAATACATGCATGTGCACATCAAAATTTTTCTTGTTCTTTGGATTTTCTTAGACCTTTTATAATTTTGATTTGGAGATCCAATACTTTGATCTCATGGTAAATTCAGGACTCCAGGAGAGTACTACTGATGTTTTGAGAATTTGGCCCACACACTGTGATATGATCCTGGCAGTGGTGGTCTCAGTATGATGCAGTTCTTACAGAAAATTTTAGAGGGGATTTCTCCAGGTGAACTTTTCCTGTAAGACAATAATAAGGATTGGGCCCGTTCAAAGATTGAGTCTAAAAGTGTAAGTCTGAGAGTCTTATACGTACCCCTATATTCCACACCGACTACAAATCCACAAACTGCCAGGAATTGATAAATCTGAAGGTTCTTATTTTAATTGTGATAATATTTTAAAGCTCTTACTTGTTTTTTATTTATTCTCAGTAAGTTAGTGCAGTTATGTGAGATCATGAAATCTGGACAAAGGTTTTGAACTGTACAAAATTTTGGTTCTGAACTCCAGAATGCAAAAAATCTTGGTTAATTCTTTACAAATCCATGGTACATTATTAGATATTCCAACTGTTTCCTAGTATAATTTTAGCCATTCTTATGTATTCTTCCTTTAATCTGGGAACCATGGAGCATTCATCCGAACACAGTTTGTCTACGATTCTGTAAAGCAAGGGTGAGGGGCTTTTTATGCCTGTCTTTTGGGAACATTCTACAAAATTTCAAGAAGACTCAAGATTACATTTATAATCCTGCCAGAATAACAGGTGCATTCGGCAGATACTTGACTTTCTCTCAACTGAAACCTGATATTCGTTAAGTATTCAGATGTCATTCTTGCAAATCATAACTGTTTCTTGACAACATTGGTGCTGTTCAGTCAGAATCCCACAAATATTCTTAAGTCTATCTTAACAACTTTGTAACTGAATCCTCAAGATTTTTACCAGAAATGTGCAAAATTTCACAATTCCTGGCAGTTTGAGGAATTCTGAGTGGGTGTGGAATAGGGGCATAAGAGACCCACACTAGAAACATGAGGGCAGAATTCAATAAAACATACAGAAATATTTGGCATACACATCCTTCCACATACTTTTGGGTTGGTTTATACCATTTGTTCATAATGATGCCACCAAATTTGTAGTTATAGCCTAAGCTGTCGATTTAACAGGATGGCTGCCCAAGAGAATTTCAGGTGCAGTCATCTCTGTTTTTTGTTCAGAGTAATGCATTGAGAGATGGTTCCTCTCATATCGTTAATATTGAATAAAATCACGACCCCCATTCATGATTTTATCAAAATTGTTTTAGTGTAAATTAAAAATTAAATGCTCTTCAGGGGTGGATCCAGGATTATTTGAAGGGGGGTCTGTGGATGTCAAGCCGACCCCCCCCCCCCCCCACCCCCAGTTGGTGTGGGTTTGGGGCCTGCTGTAGGGACCCGAAAATTTTTGGTATATTAGAGGGCGAACGGTGCCATTTGGTATGGTTTAGTTCTATAAATCAGCTAGTCAGAATTCTAATTCCTAGAGGGATATATTAGTGTGATTTTTTTTTACCCCCAGGCCCCCCCTCTAAATCTGCCATTGGCCTTGAACTTGATTGTCTTATCTCTTGGGTCACAAAAAACATTTATCATCTTTAATATTTTGAGCAGAGGTTTTACTTAAAAAATGAAAGAAAAATCTTTTGAAAATACATGATTATGTTGAAAAATACAAATCATGGGATTATCAACAAGAACTGATCAATAAAAATGTCTTGATCAATGAAAAAAACTCATTTGTGCTAATGTCTAATTAATTATTTTTGTCAGTTAGTGTGATTTGAAATCCCTAAGGAGCAGCTGTGTTGCTTGGGAATTCCTTTTTTTCAAGTAGTACTGCTTGGACTGTTTTGGACAAGCTGATAAATGAACTGTTTTAGCAGCGTCATGTGTCATATTTAGTTAAGGTACATTTATTTATCTACAGCTAGAGACAAAACTTCATTATACAAGGTCTGTTGAATTTTATTGTATCATTCAAGTGCAAAGGATTATAAAAATGTCATTCTGTGAGATATGGAATGAATTTTATAAAATGGGATCATAATATATTTTGAGTTTATTCATGTTTATGTTGTTTATTTGATCATTAATTATATATCTCAATCTATA